CAGCACAAGTATTTTCTTTTGAAAACTATGGAAAGAATAAAGCAATTATTGGCAGAATCCAAAATAAATTCTGTATGCAACACTATGTATGCAATAACCTAATAGTGGACATATGCCTGAACACACAAATCCCACAATGCAAAATGGTGGTGACAGCCCTGAGCTGCAGGTGATGCTTTTCTTCAGTAGGGACAAAAATACTGATCAGACTTAAGGGGAACATGAATGGAGATTGACGGTAATTCTTGAAGAAAACGTATTGATTGAGACTGAAGATGAGGTTTGCCTTCCAACAGGACATCAACCTTAGGCACACAGCCGGAGTTACAACTGAATGATTTAGCTCAGAGGTGTCCATCTTCAATCCTCTAGGATTATTGTCCTGTATGTGTTGGATGCATCCTTGTTCCAACACAACTGATTCAAATGACTGAATTATCTCTTATTGACGTCACTTCAAATTCCCCAGATGCCCATTTGATCTAGGTGTGTTAAACCAAAGCAACATCTAAAACATCCAAGGACAAACTTTGGACGCCACCAAATTATGTTTATCTGGTCGAACAGGCCAGTGAGACACCAGACTTAAATTCAACTTCTAGTCTGCAGCAATTCTCAAATATTGTTCACTGATGCTTCTCATCCGGTGTGACTGAGCTCCAGCATATTTGCAAAAATCAATGGGCAAAACTAGACAGTCTCTAGATGTACAAAGCTTGCAGTACCACAAAATACTTGCAGCTGTTATATAGCAAGGAGTGGTTCTAAGGTGTTCACGAAGTATAAACACCTTGACAAGGCATTGAATTTTGATACCTATGTTACTATTCCTATAGAACCTGAAATACAGTGAAGGAGAGTAAGATATCAAGGCAGCCAAGTTAAGTGCCTCCCCTCAAAGTATTTTGCTGGCAAGGATACCACCACTTCCACAGTGACATGACCTGAATGTGTTCCACAGCACAGATATTTCTGCTTTTGACTTTTATGTAACTCCACTACACCTGTGGAGAAGTACTGAAGCAAACATTTTACAACATGCTTGTGTGCTTCACATCGCTGTTCAAGATAAGAAAAAGTAAGACACATTTTAACTTAGACTAAAGGAGGCATATAGACTTATCTATGTAATGAAGACATTACCAAGTTCATTAGTGGTGTTGCTTTCAGAAGCTAGCACCTTTATAAAGACACTGATATGTGTTAACATGCCTGGGAGATCTTTTTTTTTTTTCTCCTTGGAGAGAAAGGATAAAAAACTTGTGATCTCACCTTTCCTTGGAGCTTTTACCACTTTGAGCAATAACAGGAAAATCACCCCTCCTGAATGTGCGCTATTCAAGGAAGAGTCCTATCAGTCACATGCTGTCAGACTCTCCTATCTAACCTTCTCCTCTCCATATGAAAGACTTTATGGCTGCCTTATATGCTTGACATTTAATTAATGTTTCAGTCATGTCTGCTGGAGAATGCTGACAGCAAGCCGATATCTCTGGATCTTTGCAATCAGCTGTCATGGAGTGAGTCTCACTTTTATTTTGTCTGCATTTCTGGTTCATAATGCTGTTCTCATGCTTCTTGTCTCATTTGCATATCAATCAGGCACTGGATTGTTAGCATGAGAATAAACTAATAGGATCCTCCTCATGACCCTCTTTCCAATTGACAGTGAAAGAACAGAAGGTGGCCACATTCTCACAGAGATGCTTTCCTCCTTGCAAAACTCAGCATGCTCACTTGTCTGACCTGCTTGTTTTGACCTGGGATTCCTCCGCCTCTCCCATCCTCTACATATTAATGAGGAGAAGATGAAAGAAGCCATTCCAGAACCAACGCTGCATCTCAAACTCGAGCACATATAGGGTACAAGTGATTCTGAAATGTCTTTGAAATAGCAGATTTGCTTGGCCAGCTGGCCGGAGTTGAAGTAGTCTGGTCTAGTCAGAGTACAGACTTCAGTGTTCCCACGCAGGTCTGAATCAGCCATTACTCATGGTGAATGTGCGGGGTTGATGGGTGTGTTTTCTGATTATTTGAGCAAGGAAACATTTCACATGGTTTTAATCAATAATGTTATGTAAGGAAAATGCATTAGTCATAACAGCCAAAGACTGAAAAGCCACCCCCATCTACTAATCAACTGCAGCACTAGAACAAAGATGTGCTTGTCTTTAGCAAAGTACTAGCATGAAAAAGATAATCAAATTAAAAACATCCATCCTTTTTAGCAATAAAGTAGTTTTAGATCTAACTGGCAACTCACCAATTACAGGGTGAAATCATACTCTTTGTGTTCCTTGTATGTGATCATTTGTCGTTATTTTTTAATACGTGTCAAACTCTAAGACCCAGGGCCAAATCTGAGCTGTAATAGAAAAGGCCACAGAAATGTGAATTCAAGATTAGTTCTGTACTTAAATATTATTATTCAAAGTAAATCAGTTTATTATTGTATAGGGCCAAGTCACATCAGTGTGAAAAGATGTTAGATGTTATTTAATCTCAGGAAATCCAAACTGAATGCAGAGAAAGCTGTAATAATTTAACAGAATGTTAATAGATAGTTTATTTTTCTATACATTTTGCTACAACTGAGTCCTTTGAGGACATTGATCATGTTCTTATGAGTTTCAGATCCCTGGTCTGACATCTTACTTAGGCAATGTTTATGTAAGGCGTGAAGAGCCTGAAGTAATTTCTTAACACCAAATTTGATTCTTTTCCACCTGAATTTCAAAAGCAAAACCCCTCTGAAACTGCTTTGTAGAGCTACAATAATTTTAATGTCCTCCCAGCTCATTGCCAATGAAAATCATCTACGTCTACTAAACCTTTCCCACTGGATATAATGTCTTCTTTCATTTTCTGTTTATTAACTGTTAACTGATTGAAGCCCGTCTAGAAATACAGCCATGAATCAGGAAGGTGGTGGCTTGCCTTTGCACAAAATCTGCCCATTTTCACTGCTCAGTGAGCAAGGGAATGCACCCTACATAAACATATTTGTATTTCATCATAAGGCAACACAAAGACAAAAAGACACATGTTACATTCACACCTATGGAAAAAAATCTAAACTGCAGCATGTAGTCTCCTTTGTTGATTGAGAAAAAATTATCAGAACATTCTTGTTTTCATGCTTAGACAATTGCAATTTCCTGTTTGAAGGACTAGATAAACTTCTTTTACACCTCCTGTTTCATTCAAAATGCTGTTTTCAGATTATTACTAGTTTGTATTAAGTAAAGAGTGGAAATATAGCTCAGTTCGGTTTTTTTTGTTCATACAGCACATTTGTAACCATTTGCAGTCCGATTTTATTAAACAGCTCTTCATTGAGTCAACTTTGTTAAAGGTGTGCAACCTTTTAATTTCTTCTCACCTGTATGTCACTGATATTCAGCTGTATATCTCTTTCAAGCCTAGCCAATTCTATAGGTTTTCTGTCCATTTCATTTTCTGCAAAGCTCTGCGGCTCATTGTTTTTTTTTTTTTTTTTTGTTCTTCTTGAATCACTCTCTGTGAACCCAGGAGATGCTTATGTTTGAAATCCCAGTAGATCAGCAGTTTCAGAAGTACTCCAACCAGCCCATCTGGCACCAAGAACCATGTCACATTCAAAGTCACCGAAATCCTATTTCTTCCCCATTCTGATGCCCATTACTCATCCAGGCCTAGATGGATTGAGTTACTGTCATGTCATTGGCTAATTTTCTATTTGTGATTGCTGCCAGTGAGTGTAAATAACCGTTGCTTACTTACATGTAAAGCTCATGTCCATGTGAATGCCAGGACCTACAATCAATTTTAGCCATTTTAATTTAGCTACAAATCCTTGTAAATATAATTGTTGCTTACTAGGAAAAAGTTGGCCAAATATATCAAAGTCTGTGTTCTGATTTGATAAAAATCTAATGAGTGAAGAGCTTTAAAGTAAATCCTGTTATTTGGCTTTGAAATAGAACTTTGGGATTTGTTTGATTATTCACTGCAAACTGAAGTAAAATTGGGAGAAGTAGTACATTTTTTAAATTTCAGAAGCAGTAGGTGTAGAATACTGTATATCTGCTCTTGTACAGGGGAAAGTTCATACATATATCTTGCCATAAAAGATTACTTAATGCTATTTTTCATTAATTTTACAAACACACCCCAAATTATTTTTTTTTCTCTCTTTTCATCCATCTCAGATCTGTTTGACAGCAGATATCTCACCCATAACAACCTCCTCTCCAATCATGACGCTGTTGCAGGGGAATATGGCAGCTGCTTGCAAGGCTTTGATTTCATCTTGCCCCAGATTTGCATTGTAATGAGAACTCAGGTCAATCAATAATTCACAGCAGTTTCACTTATAAAAATGAAAGCCCGAAAGAGGAAAGGAAAAAAGAAAACAGATCAACTCATGGGTAAAACAAGAACAGGACTTTGATGTGTGCCATAGGAGGCACACATGCGGTTGTGATGCTCTCCTTCTCCGTTTGTATTTGTCAACATTGCAAGTGGCACAGGAGAGGAAAGTACATGCACGCATCTGATCAGTGTAATGGATTTGACTGACTTACATCTACCTGTTATATGTACTGTATGTGTGCAGAGCCTCTGCACTGAGTGTGGAGAGAGTTGATTCTTGTTAAAGAGTCACGCTGCGACTTTGACTTCCTAAGCTTCAAACCACTGCACATGTTGCTTTTCGTTTAGCAAATATACTTTCTGACTGCAGTTTTACACCCTCCATGGCCAATCTGAGATTGAAGAAAAACCCTGCTAATTATATGAGATAAAGGTCCTATTAGTGTCTTGTGAAGATCATGAAGTACATGGAAACTAAGAAATTAAGAGTTGGTTTGTTTGTTCATTACTGTTTGAGTGTATGTGGTACAAGAAACAAATTAAATGAAGCCTATTTTAATAACAAAAGCAATGTCATTTGCTTGTATGCCCCAGTAGCAAACAAGATATTAATTAACACCTTACAACTCCTTTTTTTGTGTCAATAGTACCACCGGACGACCCAGTCATTGGTGGCGGACCTGTGGTGAGCCTGAGAGCTGGTAATCCTCTAAACTTGACATGCCACGCTGACAATGCCAAACCTGCAGCATCCATTATCTGGATCCGGAATGGAGAGGTCCTTAACGGGGCCATGTACTCCAAGGTAAGCACTGAGGTGTGTGTCATAACAGGTACGTAGCCCAGCAGGGTGGGGGGCTGTGTATGACATTGTTTAGAAGGACTGTGGCCTATCTGTTTGTTTGTCAGTTATATATGTTTCTCATTTTTCTCTACAATTTTCTAAGTGAATATATTCATAATCAGGCCACCGACCTGGTGTTCACAGCTGAAGTCTTGCGAGAAGCAACCCGAGAAAATCACGATTTGTTTTGAAAGAATTCAAAACAAATTGGTCAATAAGGTTCTTTATGATGCGATAAAGTGGAATGATAAAGGAAAAAGATAATCTTTACATAAACTTCAAAATCCATTAACTTCTGATGAAGTGAGCAAGGAGAGCCTATGGAGAAAACACTGCACTGCAAAGTATTTCTGATGGTTCTTTTGAATTCTCCTCATTAAATTAAGTTTCCACTCCACAGTTATAGTATTCTGGAATACTTAAAATACATCTGGAACAATTGCTAACATCAGGTTTTGAAGTATTGAGCTCTTTGTTTTACCTATTGTGAGACACTTCTTGAGAAACAAGCTGATTTTAATTATTACTGATAGGTGAGTTACAGCATTGCTACTGAAAGACTTCATTTTTCTTCCTGGCTTTTAATAACTTTTTCAGCTTTAGTGATTTTTTTTTAATTCAATACTTATTATCATTTCCTTATTTAACAGCTAATTACCTTGCACCATACATGTCTACACTACTGCAACTACAGCACAGTGCTAAAGTATTTTTCAGACGCTTAGTGTTGCGCTTCAGTTAGGTGTGTGTTTGCCTCAGCCTTTGGGTTGGTTTTATGAAGTGATATTCCTCAAAAACACAAGCATTTGCTTCCTCTGGTTTACAAATGTACTGAAACAAACAGATGGTGAGATCATGAGACTATCAGTAACTTTGCGTCTCTCTCCAGCGTTTTGATATTGTCCTACAGACTCTTGCTTGATCAAACAATGCTCTGATCTACAGTGTGAAGTTCCTGAATGTTTTATGCCACAGTCTAATTCTCAGCCGTAGCTTGTCCTTAGACTTTGGATGTCACTGCAGTTCCAAATTATTTCATGCTGTGGTCACATGAACCCAAACACTCAATTCACATTTATTCTCAAGGCTTAGTTATCCATTTAAATCGGTTATGTTCTATTTATTTTTAAACAAAGCACATAAAGAGGCAAGGCACTTTAGGCTGCCTTCCTCTGCTCCCTGCACTCTCATCCCATTATCGGCTTTTTTCAAAGAGCAGATAAATGCCATTGATTGGGCTGAGGTACGGCACCAGGCCGCTTTGAATAAAGTGATTGCCAGAGGTGCTGTTTGCTAATGGTAGGTGGAGGAGCGTGCTTCCTACCTTCACTTCCTCCTCAGGAGCAAAGGCAGATATGAAGACATCCAGCGCCAATAGGTGACGGATGCTCTCATGCCTGCGTTGAGCCCGAGTATGAGCTTCCCCCCTCTTATCTCTATTGCCTAACATTAAAAAGCAATGGGTTCAATTAAACCAAGATGACTTTTCTTGGGTCCGCAGAGCAGCAGGGGGACATTTTGAAAACATAATCATCTGCTCTGATGGTCTTCTCATATCCAACAGATGAAGAGGTCTAATGTGAGCAGATGTGGTGAAGGGTTCACAAAGATGACTTTACTGATGGTGTCATATGTAATGACAGTTCTGACCCATCCAAAACCTCATCTCTGTGACCTCATGAAAATCTATTTACTGGACCAGTGATTAAATGAAAACTATATGATTAAAACTAACATTTGGCAACCATGTGTGTTGCTTTTAACCAAAGCAGTGTTCATAAAATGACGCACTGCTTATCATTAGTGAGGGTAGCTTAGGAATTTATAACTGCAGTATATAAGTAAGAAGCTCACCAAAGGACAGAGAGAAGTTGCATATCAACACGTATAAATCCCATTAAATTAAAACATTAAATGAAGGCTTTTATCTCAAAGACATACTGAAAAGGTCTCCACACATTTCTGTTTTGAAAAAAAATAAATAAAAAAATAATTTGATGCAGCATTTTGAGATGAGATTAGAATTTTGAGAATGGCTTTAGCAGCTGATTCTATTGTTGTCCATCTTTGCCATCCATACCAAATATACTATTGTCAGGTTTTGATTTAAAGTGGTTCAGAGAATAATTTGTGCTTATGCAACACACTAATTAGGTCTGATCAAACAAATTTTTGTTCAAATGTATTTATTTATTTGTCATATCTTAACTACTGCTTAAGTTTTGCATGACTGTAATGGCTAACAAATTATTTTTAGTTTCAATTTAAACTTTTTCTACTAGTCTGTATGACCTAAAAGAGGGAAAAAAAGTTCTGCATGTCTGTCTAGAATTTATTCCCTTTTATGTATCAAAGCTAAACTAAAAAAAAAAGTGCATGAAGTGCACACTGCTGGTTTAAATCCTCACAGAACAAAAATTGCAGGTGGTTTTAGTTTCAAGAAATTTAATGAATAGGAAAAAAAATAATATTTGACCTCAAAGTATACAAAGTATACAAAGGAAAAAATGACCACTTTGGATCTTTTTGTCATAGATTGGTTCATCTTTAGTTGCAAAAAATCAGCATGTGGTGTTTGGGCAGGTATTTATTCTGCTATCAAGCTTGTTTGTAACGTAAGAGAGTATTTATGCTGCACTATTTCCAATAATGCTTGAAAACCACATTAATCAAACAGATAAGAGAAAAATGCTATATTGTTATAAGTTTCTTTGGTTCTCTTACCTTCAGAAGGTCAGAAAATATTAATTACACCTAAGCTTATTGTCCTGTAATCTGGTTATATGTGTATTGTTTGGAGCTTTATTTGGTATTAAATAAGAAAATATCTCAATTTGTGATGTGGACTAAGGTTTTTTTTTTTGTGTGTGTGTGTGTGCTGCTACCAACTAACCCTGTTACTAAGATTAATGACTGCAGACAGGTCTAGAGTTATGATGGAAACAATCCCGATTGTGTCACAAAGAACATTACATTGACATACTCCGTGTCTGACAACTAATGTTCTCTGCTTTCAAAGTGACTCACGCACAAATATGAATTTCATCACATGGCTCTTCACATGGAAATGGGATTCACAGAGCATAGGAGCTGTAATATTATTTTCCTACTAGTCTCAGAAATGCCAAAAAACCTAATATATTCACCCAAGTGGTGTAGATCATTTTTATGTTCCTTTAAAAGGCACATTGAGATGGCTGAACTATAAAGTGATAAGTATATATATATATATATATATATATATATATATATATATATATATATAATGTCTTGTATTAGTTTACAAGTTTATTTTTTTAAAGCCACACTATTCAGAATGAGGGGTGATTTGGAAGAAAAGATGGCATAGATAAATTGAGGTTTCACTGGCCTAAAATTTTTGCATTAGTGTGAAAGAACAGATTTGAACTTATTTTTGCCTTCATCCTTCTTTGGCGGGGGTCTACCAAGATGCCCATCTTGACATTACAGTGGAAATGCTATTTAATTTTCACTATGATCAAAGTCACATTGTAGATCTCAAAAAGCCAAAAATTAAATAACAGAAAGCAAATTATATGTCATCTGTTCAAGACACAACGACCTGACTTTTTAACAGGAATTTTGAGTGTTTTGGTTTTGGACATAATCTCCATAGCAAAGCATGTTTTTAGTATATAAACACAATTTTCAGCTGTTTCCATTCTGAATGGTGTTTTTTTTTATGTAGTTTCCTTTCTATTGAAAAGAACTGAGCCTTGAGTCTACTTTAAAGGGAAAGCAGGGAAATGCATCTTGACTTTGTGGTTGACCACCCTGCACCCTGTTGCCCACACAATTTGTTCTATTCAGTGACTTTGTTCTGTCCTGCACTGCTTAGCATAGCCTCCCAGAGCCCTCCTCTGAGCGCCGGAGTCATAGCAGAGAGCCAGCAAGCGCTACCAACCGATTCCAGATGGCTTCCACAATACAGGGCTCAGAGGATGAGCACTGAAAAGAAGATTGATTTCCTTTGTGGAGTATGACAAGCCATGCACTAGAGCACGGCTCTCCAGACACACAAAAGGAAGCTCTAAAAAAACATATTTCAAATACTTTTTATTTATTAAATTTCATATCAGCCTCCCTTTGGGGGTAAAACTACAGGCAGAATGTTTTGATGGTTCTCTTCTGTTTCCTGCAATAGAGCCAATTGTACATGTATTTGTTTTGATCTTTTTCTTGCTTTTCTTTGATCTTCCCTTTGTTTTAACTTCTTTATTTTCACACAATTATTTGTGGGAAAAGTTTAGAATTAAGATGTAAAATGCTTACATAGGTGAACATTTCACTTTCTTTTATTCTACACCTGCAGGTGCTTACAGCTTAAAAGATAATTCATATATTTTAAAGTGAAGTTCTGTAGAAACACTTTTTATCAGTAATGGTTTGCTTACTGTTGAGGCGAGTTTCTTTTCATAAAGACACAGAGTATTGGAAGGCAGCAGCTAATCAGACAGGGGACAGAAAATTTTGCTTATAGCCTCTTGTTGCTCTTCATGCAGATGTCTATGTTAGGTTTTTCTCAAGGTTTTAAAGCTGAATATATTTGCTACTATGTTATTTTGATCAAACTGATTCCATTGCTGAGCTAATAGTAGGGCTTGTTTAGCACCTTTTTTTTCTGCTGCAATCTCTGTTTTTGCATTAATAAACTAGAAATTTCTAAGATCCAGTCCTGACTAGCAAAAGTGTAGAATCACTTTTATTAGAAGCTGGAGACCAATTTAATTATGGACATCAATAACCAAACAAAATGTTTAAAACGTCTGTCTGTTAAATCTAAATATGAATGTTTTCTGTTTAAAATATTCAAAATACAAACGAAAATATGTCAAAACAGGGGTCATTCCAACTTGTTCTTTCACCAGTTTTGTGGTTTCTTCAGTTCTGTTCTGTCTCACAAAAATAAAGCATCTTTCTATCAGTAACTTTTAATAATTTTATCTCCTGAGAACTTTCCCTCAAAAACTGTGAATTTTTATTTTCTTGCCCCAATTTAAATGGACAGTACCCAGCATACAAAATGACACAATGCTCCTCATTTTAGGTATTTAAGCACAAAACTGTCTTTATCTCATGAAGTGTTACTTTGCTTTTTCCAGACATTACTCCGAGACGGCAGGAGAGAAAGCACAGTGAGCACACTCTACCTTTCGCCTTCCAACATCGAGACTGGTCAGCAGATTATCTGCAAGGCCTCCAACAAAGCAGTGCCCAATGGCAAGGAGACCAGCGTCACTATTGATGTTCAGCGTAAGCATATTTTCTAAATTTTTTATTTGTATTTTGAATTTAAATGATTTACAATTAGATGAGAAGAAAACACTAACGTGATCAGCAGGATTGAAAAGTATGAATTATACTGTTACAAAAACCCACATGACTATCTCTTGTGGTCATATGTGATCTCCTGTAGACTCTCATACTATTCATAATTGATTTCCTTTTTTCTTCTCACATGCCATCGAGTCATATTGATTGGTGATGCACCAGTAGTTCTAATTTTCTATGAAAAAAATATATATTAAGAAAAGTCAGAGCATGTCCATCTAAATGGGTGAAGCTTGTGTTCTGCCTACCTGCTCACTGTGGAAGAAGACAAAGTATTCCCACCTCTCGTATTTTTTCTCTCATGCCATCAATCTCTTTGATGAGAGAATCCACATTTCAAGTTGAAAATAGGCAAAATAAGCCCAGCGTGTAAACCACATTCAGCCTCAATTGTCAGGGAATATTTTTTCGATCAAGAACTGCTCACAGTAAGAGAAAGGATTTGAACAATGGGATTTTGCATCACTCACAACCCCTTCAACGCCATTAAGTATGACTAATAAAGCAGAAAATGCTATTTAGAGAGCCATTATGACTGACGGCTCCATTCTTTTTATTATGTACACGGCAAGAGGCAAGAATGGCACGAGCGGGTATAGCACAATCAGGCCAACCCAGGCACGGGAGTAAAAATGATTAAGAGTTGTTAGTGTTTGCAACCCTAGCAGTTTGCGCTCCTCGTTTTTTTTTCTTTTTTTTTTTTTTTCTTTGCCATGCAGTCAGCGAATGAAGTCTGCCCACATGTAAACTGATTTGTCACCATGTATAATGATGTGTCTCTGATAACTGCCTGCCATCATAGCATCATCCACGCCTGTAAATGTTTGATTTAACCCTGAAAAATGAGTGGAGCAGATCTCTAATTAGCATTCTAAAATGTCGTCTTTACACAATTAAAGCTCCTGAAAACATTTTTCACAGTGTGAGATGAAACCGAGCGACAGCAGAGACTAATTGTCGAGATCCAAACTGTTTCCCACAAGGCTAAGGCTCTCGACTCCCTCCCTCGCTTTTCCTCCCCCCCTTCTTCCTCCTCCTCTCTTGGATTTGACAGGTAGTGCTCAGCACGGTTGAGTGGAGCCTTTGGAGTTTAACCGGAGATCCACTCCTCACATAAAGTTTCCCCCTGAATTCAAGCATGCAGTTGCTGAACTTTGATTGATTTCTGTTAGGTATTAATTTGTTTAAATTGAATGCAGGCTGATTTGATTACAAGGTCAGCGACTTGTAATCTGTCCAAAACACAGATGCAAAAATCAAAGCTAAAGGGCAATTACACACTTTTTGATGCGCTACATGGTAAATCTGCCACTTAGTGCATCACATTTACCACTTCAGGTAATTTATCGTTTATCTAACTAGTTATACAGAATCTTGCAAACATTTTGAATGTACTTTGTTCTTAAGCACCTTAGGAGGAAGGAAGATGATACATGGTTTTCAAAATGTTTTGAAAAGAAAAATTGGAGCGTGATATGCATTTGTGTTCTACCCCCTTAACTCTGACACCCTTAAATTAAAATCAGCCGACCTTGATGTTGTTCAATCTCAGTATTAAAAATACATCTGTTTTGTAAAGACCTCAGAGGTTTGTCAGAAAACCATGAAACAACACGATAAAGACCAAAGAGCACACCCAAAAAAATCCCCATGAAAACAATAGATTATTGTAGTTGTTGTCTATAGTCATCATGTCTGTTTTATTCCTTAAGAAAATAATCACATTTCTGACCAAATTTATATTTTTTAATTTAAAAAAGCAACAAAATGACATGTTGTCTAATTTTATTGACTAAAACATTTTGCTAACATTAAGTTGAGTTTGGTCTAAAATTAAAGGTAGGTATCTCAGCCTGCAATTCACTTTATTACTCGCTGAGAATCTTACTGTAAAATTCCTGAAAAGATGACTACAGAAACAAGCTGAATGTGAATGAAGTATGCTGTTTACAACTTTCAAAGGCTGTTCTAATTAAAAGTGCTGCATCAGTACACCAAAGTTAGCTCCTTGAAGGACATTTCATTCAGAACAATATTGGATGACCTAACTATTCCAACGGTTGACACAGTTATTACCAGTACTTTAATTACTATGTTTTAGAGTTTAATTGCTATAATAATAATTTTAACAATTACTCCCAGGTTTGACTTAAATTGAACAATTTTTATTTGTTTTTTAAACTGATTGTCACCTCTTTAGAAACAACTATGTGATATAATAAAGCGTCTTAATTAGTCAGTGGTCTTCATTTCTATGTACCTGAAATTTCCAGGTATGGATGGATGGAAGGAGCAGTCTGGCATGGAATATTTCAACCTATGCACTGTTAGGTGGACATTTCACATCAACTTTGACAACCAGGGATTTAAAGTAATTTCCTATCATTTACTTGTAATTTACTCTAAAGAAATGTGATTATGTGACTGAAAAAAAAATATCTGCCATGAAGGGACTGCTCATGCTCATCTTGATTTGATCAGGGGTCAGAATCTGTCGTAACTTGTTAGAGTTGACCGACTCAAATGAGTCTCAGATCAGCCGTCAATGGAATTAGGAAGTAATCTGAAATTTTTAGAAAATGTTAGATGATCACATTAAAAAGTAGATGGAGCTTGAGCATACTTATGGCTGTCTCTTTCCATGAGTTATCAAAAATATGTACTAGAAAAATAGACTTCATAGTCAATAGCAAATTACTTGACTGAGGACACCGGTTAGGAAAGAAACAGGGGACACTTTTTTTTCTAAAGGGGTTTGTATTAAAAAATTTACTTTGGTTTGTCTAGCTGTTGTCAAACTTATTATTGTAATAATAATAATAATAGCAATAATGATAAAATCATAAGTTGAATAAACTAAAACTGCTTTTCAACTTGAATAACAAACTGACAAAAAAGTGTATTTTAAAACATTAAAATAAAATCCCTCCGCTTTTCACTCTGAACAAAAGTTGAAAGCCATTGGACTGCCTACTGTATAAAGTGAATTGTTCCTTCAAGAGATTTCTGTCAGCTCGTAAAAGAAAGGACACGCTTCACAATTTTGTCTTTATAATGGCTGTTCGCTCTCCTTTTACAGTGGAAATCAGACAAAAAAAGTTAATTGTTGGAAGTTTTAAACACCTCTTTGAATCTCCGGTAAAAGCATTGTGACTGACCACTCAGAAATCTGAGTATAACAAACTGAAGCTTGTGTCAATTATGTTTTTATGTAATTTAAGTTTTGTTAATGTGCTTGAAATGTAGTTGGACTGGAAATTGTTTTCATGTTTTTAGTAGGTGGCCCTGTTTTTTTAAACACAATGGAGTTCAGATCACCCATAATTATAACCTCCTTTGCATTTAGTTTTAATTTAGGATCTTAGCATAATATGGTTGCAAATGCTTTTTTTTAAATTCATTTTATTTTATTTGTTTAATGCACAAACTTGATAATCATCAAATGACCTAAAGAGTCATGATTAAGGAGCTAAACACTAAGTTTATGGAGTTTATGGAGAACAAAGGAATATAATCAAACCACAATGAATGTCATTTTGCAGAAAAGGGGTGAAATTACTCTGCAGGCTGATGATATGTATGCTGTTGCTGTGTCCACAGTTTTTAATAATCAACTTAAAAACTATTGGTTGTCTTACTTAAAAAAAAGAGTCAAGAACATAGACATGTGTTGTCAAACGAAAAGCACGCACCTTCATTTTTAGGGACATTAAACAAAAACATGTTTCAAATTCATGAGAAATATCACACCCAACGTCTCATTCCAACCCCAGTTGTAGCAAGAAATAAGAACAATGGATCCAACAGAGTTGGAGAAAAATTAATTGGTGAACTGAAAAAAAAAGGAGCAACTTGTTCACCCTGGGATAAGAGCAAGTGTCATCAAGAACATTAGAGCAGAAAGTGAGGGTGCCATTCATTTTAGGGTACTCTTCATTTCCTGTCCACAAGCTGTCTCATTCAGAATTGAACCCTTGCAGATGTTTTTCTGGCACTCTCTGACTGAGTACTGTATTGAGCATGAACAGCTGAAATTGATATTGATGCTTTCATCTCGTTCTTACTAAGGCAGCAAATGAGTAGATTTCCTGAAATGGTATTGCATACCCTGAATATGTTGACAATCTCCCTCTGAACTTCTACATTCCCAGCATGAAGCATTATATATTCTGCTCAGGAGCAGCCTAACTTTTAGGCATTTAATTGAACACCAATTTATCTTGCCTAATAAAGCTTGTGTATGTGCCATCTCAGTGACATAAAACCTACAAAAAAAGTTCTTGTAAACTTTCCAATCTTCTCTTCAAAAAATCTAGTGTTCAGTCCACTTTTGTGCTTAGTTGTCCTTTTTTTAATATAATCTAAACACAACTCTGCACATTGCTCTACAGCTTAAACCAGAACCTAATGCCTTTAACAGTATTTTCTTTTTATCATTACTTTAATGCTCGTGGTTTACATCCACATCAGCATTTCCATTCCCTCCAAAGTTCATACAGCGTTATCTGGATGAGGTTTAGACAAATTAGCATCTAAATACAGTATACGCTGTCGATGTTGCCGAAATGAGAGGGATTTAGAGCCAGCAGAGGTGATTCAGAACCCTGGATAGACTGCTGACTTCAGTTGCCCACACCATTCCATTAGTGGACTGTAATTATTTGATAGCACACGGGGTAGCTACCCCCACATGCTGTTTTCTTCAGCAGTATGTCTTGATGTGCATGCTGTTGTTTGTACTTGAATCAGTAAACTTCCCCACGACCACTACAGTACGAACCACTGCAGGGGAACTCTGTTTTGGATGCCAGCTTCGTGTCTCACTAATTCCCACTCATCGCATGGTTTGAAATGCTCCTCAATTATTTTCTAGTGCAGTTGCATATCTGCAGAGCATTGCCCCACATAGAACTCTGCTTTGAAACGTGTAGTGGGAAATTAATGCACTGGGGATGGGCAAGACCAAGGTTTTTCCGTATGTTTGCATTGCAAACAAGCTGAGCCATGTGGGTGTAAAAATGAAAGCCATTTGTTGGGACTAATTAATAAAGAACATGCACATGTGCAATTGGGGGGGATTTGTTTATGGTAGCTTGCTCAGCCACATACTCTCCTTGCTTAATCAAGCAGATAATGCCAAATTCATCTGAAACAGCATCTGTGAGTGAGGGGAAAGGAATATAAGGTCATAGAGACAGGAAAATGCTCTTGCATTTCTGACAAAACTTTCAGTTTGTAAACATATTTTGGCACATATGTATTGCAAGGAATGTCAAACAACATCTGCCATCATTAAACTAAGTAAATTTAGCATTCTGAATATCTTATGATCAATATGTTAGACCTCAAGTTGTTCGTCAGCCTGTTCTCCCCTGAAGTATTGCGCTCAGCCAGCCAGTTGACAGCGTACCCAGATTGTCGACAATGTAATCCTCAGTCTCTGCATCCTACAGAGGAATCCAAACTCTTCTGGAGTTTGAGGCTGGTCCTGCTGAAGAACATCTGTCTACAGTGACCCAGAGCGATTGAAAATTTGAGCTTTAAGAAAGGGAGGAGTGGGGGTGAATTTATGCTGGCACAGTCTCCGTGAACAGAGAAGTTGGATGATTGTTCCAAAAACACCATCTGGTTTCCACTTTGAACTAACCGATCAAAAGCTGTCGGCCAACTAAAACAACACCCTCCCCAATTTCTCCTGTTGTTTCTCCTATTTCCTCAGTCTATTCATTTTACCCCTTCTAGTGAAGGATCAGCTCTGTTGCACATTGGTCTGCAATGGCGTTGCCTCAAATGCCCAACTCGTCAACCCTTTGCACTTACCCATCAAAGTATTCACTTTACTAAACAGATGTTGGTCATATTATAAAGGTCAAAAGTTGGAAAAGGTGTTTTAGTTCTTAATTCAAACATTGGGACAGAACTTGTGACAGCTGGTCCTCTCTCACGCTCTCTGAGAGGGACATCGGAGTTTTTTTTTTGTTTTTTGTTTTTTTCTCTCTCTCAGAACGGAGGACCGGTTCAGGCATTTCAAAAGAACATTGATTTTGTGGTCAGATTGACAGTAATGAGCATTTGAATCTTTAGAAGTCAGTTGGCAGCAAGACGAAGGATATCGTGATTAAAAAGGCCCATATAGGAATAGTTTAGTGCAAATGGCCTCAGAATGAGCTTCTGCATTACTATGTCTATTAGCACAGAAGATGCCTTTAGATCTTCCCCTGGCTTTTGATGTCTGTCTCTCTTTCTGTCTGTGCTCCCAGATTCCCACAGATTTTTTTAGTGCCACCTCCACTGCTGCCACACCTGTCAGTTTGCCCCTTAGGTTGCTTTTACCCACATTTCCTTTCACAGATTTAACCACCCACAATGCTTTAAACCACCTACTGAGTGGATAACACTATTGCTCCAGGCAAGGATGAGTTTCCGGTTTTATTATGATGTGCATCCATGCCCTCCTTCTGGTCCCCCTCATATTCACACAAGCATGCAAATGCCTAGGCACACAGCTGGCTGCTCAGTACCTAGGGATACTTGCTTGTTGAGTTAGCCTGCAGTCTTTTTGGGTTTTGCAATGTTGTTGTTTTCTTTACTGGCCTGGAGAGACCAGGCACAGGTGGAGCTCATGGATTTCAAGGTAGTGAAGTGGTTGGCGAGGGGTGGTGTAGTTGTCCTGGAGGGGAATGCTTTCAGTGATGGGGGAAAGAATGTGGCACCTGGACCAATTCCTCTCTGGGGTTTTGTGGCAGCTGAGCCAGCCTTGAGCATCTGCACAACTACGGGGTAATAAGCAGTTTTTCGACATTTGGTGCCGACCCATAAACATGCTTACAGATTCCCTCTCCATAGCCATACACAGAGATGTCTGGCTACATTAAAGCGTGTTTGTGTGCTCCTTTTTTGTTTCATCCTCGACGGATTTCTGTTCTCACTGCTGTGTCCTTCATCCGCAGCCAAACACAGTTCCTGGTTGTAACTTTAGTGTAGCTAAACACAGAGCAGATCTACTTTTTAAACAGATGGCTAGCTTCAAACCCAGAGCCAGTTTTCCCCTTGTGACTTGTTGACTGTCCAGGATACCTCACCAGAAGGCAAAGAAGAAAAACTGTATGAAAGAAAAATAAATCAAGTGAAGACTCTTTATTTTTCTATTATTTAAAGCAAATGTGCACTAAAAAGAAATTGTTGACACTTTCCAATATATTTTCCATTAACAGTAAAGCACTTACAGTACTAATTGCTAGACCAACTTGTAATTATGATCTGCCTTGCTGCATTTGCAGCTCTGAACAAAATACACCTACATTGCATTTAAGAAACCTGACAAATAGCTTTACTTATAAATAAATAATTAAATTCATCCTCCAAATTTGTGAGGTAAATAGCTTTGTTTGCTTCACGTGGGACAGGTTGATATGGAAATGAAGCTTTGTCTTCAAAAAGAATCCCACCTTTGTCAATTAGGATAAATTAAGTTGTTTATTGAATTTGCATAATCTGAATGTTTGCGATGTTCAGAACTATTATAATTTGCACTGCACTGCTGAGGTTCCTTGTTGATTTAATTGCTGTGGATTTTGCTGTGGACTATTTCCTGCTTGAAAATTCTTGTTCAGTGGAATCAGTTCAGGGTTTCATTTTTTTTGCTTTACATATGAAAAGTAGGGATATGTGAAAGCAGAAACATAGAAATAAACATCCAACTTGTAACAAACAACCTCAGTGGCTTTTAGCAAGATGAGCTTTAAGAAATGTGGGCTGTAGGGTATTAGAACTGAGACACAGTTATAGCAGGATAATTCTCTCACAGACTAAGATAAATTGTCAAACAGTACCACAATGTGGTATTGTTTACTGAAAGATTATAATAATATTATTAATGCTATGAATATTATATCCTTCTCAGATATAATTCTGTGTTCCACATACAACAAGGTTGACATTTCACACCTGGGATCATCCTGATCAGGATTCTTTTGTCAGTGATACAAATATGACTCTTTTAAAACTAGACACATTTGGGTTTTTAGGCTGTTAATATATATCAGGATAATCAAAGCTAAACCCAAAAGTATTTACAGATTTAGATTTGAGTGATATTTTGACCTGATAAAAATATTTTTCTAACTGAAGATAATGTTTCAATTTTGAGGTGGCCTTGCCAGAGTTTCAATTGGAATCCCAAAAACAATATGTTGTGAGAGCTAATAATTAGGATTATGACCAAAAGCCTCAAAACCTTAAAAGACAAAGAGCTAGCTACAAAAGAAGAATTGGCAAAAGTAAAAGTCGAAACATGCAAGTAATTGGTCAACAAGTGATAGTTTGAATACATTTTTGAAAGCCATCCACACAGAATGTGATGTGGTTGATTTATGTGGTTGACATAAATCATACAGCATGTTATCAACAAATGTGGAGATGAGTGTGATCAGGTAGTCAAATACAGATCATTTAAAACTTACGGGATAAGAATCTCCATCCGATATGTTATCAACACAGGATACCACAGTCAAACTGAAAGGATTCCTCTTTTTCTACTGTTTTTTTTTTTTCTGACATTTAGACATCAACAACATCAGCAGCTCACAATTTACTGCACCATGTTTGGGGATGCCACGTGAGTAATTGCTTGTCTTTGTGCATCCCTGTTTTTATAGATCTCCCTCTTGTCAATCTCTCAGTGGAGCCTCAGCCTGTTTTGGAGGGCAACCTTGTGAAATTCCACTGCTCTGCAAAGGCCAACCCTCCCGTTTCGCTCTACAGGTGAGTCTATAGCAAGCTGTGACTCCAGTGCCCACACATAAGTCATCCACAAAGCTTTAAAGACCCTATAAAATATTGAAGGATGAGGAGAAACGCACTTAATGAGATATTTTCTGATCGATGTAGAAGGTGAAAAATGATTTTCACACAGCACAAAATTTAACACAGTATAGATGATATTAATCTTTGTCAGACAACATATAATACCATTGCACCATTACTTCACCTCATACTTGTTATGAGAAGACACAAAACAATGAAACACTGCGGAAAAATATAATGGAAACATATTTCAGAAAAACCATTTGGGAAAGCATGTCATGTTTCACTGGGCTGCAGTAAAATAATACAGAGCTTTGTTCCACAACTATTTGCTTTATAGTCACATCATCTCCCTTGAACTTTAAATGTCCATAAGAGTGTTGGAGGAAAGCTGAAAATCTAATTTGCGTGACATCTGAGGAAGATGTCAAAATTGCTGCTTTTTTTCCCATTAAATTATGTGTTAAGACAGCACCTGCCCCAGGGATCTGGCAGCTTTATGCAGTGGTAATGGGTGATTCTAGGCTTTTATTTCTTGTTTTACAAATGGAAATTTGAAATAGTTGACTTTGCCCATCGTAAGAAAATAATGTGACATCACCCACACAAGAAATGTTATTATTGCTAAAATGAGAAACCACAATTCATTTGGAAGCAAGTTTAAATATGCAATTATCAAATGAGAAACAACAGGAGAGGCAGAAGGAAAAGAGAAAACCATTAATCAATTCTCTCATGAGGTGCTGATTTTCATTTTCTGAATATCAACTCTATGAAGAGGTGACATTAAAAAAGGCATCGAAACCATAGATTCTGCTTTTGTCCACAAAAGGATATTCGGTCATTTGAATGTATATCATTTGAATGATTGAATACATTCAATCATTCAATCATGACTTCATTACTTGAATACATCATTCAATTGAATCATTTGAATGTATTCAAGATAGCTCTTGAGCAGATAAGTTGGCCATATAGTCTTGTTTTCAGACTTAATAAGAATTTGAACAACACTTTTGTTTCTGAACTTTGATAAAAAAATGTTTTTCAGTTCATTTGTGTCCCTGTCAAAAACATGAATGATGTTGGGGTCTAAAGGCAAAGTTTTCTGATATTTTGTGGTGTTTTTAATTCAATGCATAAAAACATTGATCCATCCAGTAATCTTCTTCTTAATGGTGTGTGTCTTTGCAGGGTAAGTACTCTGAAAAATCTAGTGTTTTGCGTAGGAATCATATCTCAAACAGGGGTATTATGTATTATACAGGCATATTTTATGTCACAATCAAGCACTATGTTATGAAAATGTTGTATATCCCAAAAACTATTTCCAATAAATTTGACTTTGCATCATAGCATAAATATTGGCTTCTGTCTCTTTAAGAACTTTCAAACCTTCAGCCTTCACCACATGTGGCTACAACAAATAATGTAAGCTGTTCATCATAGTCATAATCTTTCATATTTAACCAAAATTTCATGGTCCATAACATATTGTGTTTTAGATTTAAGCATCTTTGTGATTATTTCTTCTCATTTACTTATTGTAAATGAAAATGAGGTTGCTAAGTAATTTTGGTTACTTACCAACCAAAATTAATAAAATTATATATATGGTTACAAAGTGAACTGCATAATGAGAAGTAAAAACATTTAAAAAAATAGAAAATCACAATCTATACTTGTTAAAATCTATCCACTTCTTTCTAACATCTTCAACTCTGATGAAGCAAGAAAATGCACCTCTATTGTTCTTACAAATCCTGTATGGCCCTCCACATGAGGAGTACTAAAGTGATTTGTCAAGAGATGGTTCTCTGTGTGGGAGGTTTTTAAATCTGAGCAGAAAAATAAATGGAGTCAAATCAATAGCAAAAGCAATTGGCCAGGCTCTGAATCTTGTAATGGTAGTGGGAAATGAAATGGGTGTACAACACACTCACAGGTGGCAAAACAGAGATGTTGCTTTTGTTGTATAGATCATGCACTTTGGAAAAAAAAGAATGCGGGAGAAAGGGCAGTGAGATTGTGAAAAACAAGGTGTATGTATTAGACTTTATCTGTGAACAGCACAGGCAGATCATCTTTTTCACCTGCAGAGGCTACAAGGCTGGATCAATGCTAGAATCAGACCTCTCCATGGGGTATAAAGAGATTCAACTCTATGGCAACTGACATATTCCTCCAGTTTAACAATCTATAGAAAAAAAGAATCAGTTAAAGGGTCAAACCAAAATGGATTGAAAACATTATTTTTCTTCTTTAAAATATATTCCTCTTCTTGTTACACTAACAAGTTACCATGAATAAATTTTAAAGTCAATCTAATAACCTTTTCTACTTGGTTTTACCCTTCAGCAGGTTTTGAAGGTTACCTGTTTCGATTTAACAATGTTCTACTGTCTTGCTGTGCCATTTCCTCTTACAGCATTGTAAACAAGAAATTTTAAGCATCCATAATACTTGCCTGGGGGACCTCATCAATGTAGAGGCCCGCACACAGTCTCCCTCTGAGAGCAAGATCATCATGGAGTGCAAAAAGCTGGTCAAGCAGTGTGGGACCATTATTCAGTGCTAATACACTGTCTTCCACAGATCAGATAGAGCCCAAAGACAGAGTAGTTCTTAGACGGATGGCCTCTTTTCCGTTCCCCAGAGAGTCATCCATTCCCTATATGCACTGCACCATCGTAACATCTTCCAATAGACACTTGAGACACACACCCAAGACAGTGTGGGGCAATAGTCAAAAGCATAGTGCCTCCAGCTGCCTGTGACCCCTCGTGACTGCAACGGCATTTTAATAAAACTGTCTTAAGGCAGGAGAGAAAAATTGAGATCTTTTCATTGTACTTTTACCCAGAAAAACAGAATGAGAAAACAAATCCAGGTGTGGTTATTTAAAGAGTAGAACAGGAGTGTTGGCAGTCATTTGCTTACCTCCAATTTGCTGTTCTATGTGTGAACTGCTGATTGTAACTTGTAGTGAGAAAGGGTTTTAAGTGAAAAGGAAGGCTTGAAAAGTGCTGGGTAAATACGCAGTTTGAAAAGAAAAAGTGATGTCTCAGACATCTTAGAACCTGTTTGGCTCTAAGATGTCTATTCTGATAAAAAACAGTCCAATACAAAGGTTGACATTGTAAATCCTAAAGTCCTTATAAGTGTCGAGCTAACCACATCCATGTCCATTGTTGGAGCTCATTCACTTGAAAGTAGAAATTAAAAATGAGTGTGCGATACAACATATTTTTGTTTTCAATGCTAGTTTTTGGATGTTTTTAATTTAAAAACTCTACTTTGCTGTATGCTCACTGTTCTGTAATACCTTTTTTTTTTTTTGCGGTAACAAAGAGTGTTTTACATCTTGTTTTTACCAAAAAGTCAAGTAATCGCTGGAGAGTCTCTGCATAGTGCCTGGAAACTTGAGATCTTGTGGTATTAAAACACCGGAAAATGTCTAACTGTCTCACAAAGGGCTAAATTTGTGGGACAATTTGTTTGGTGAACAAAGTCAGCAGTTTGGAAAGGCTTTGCAGAGTTCTACAACCTTGACATCTTATTTCATCTATAGTTGAAACAGCACATGAGACTTATTTTAAGTCAAAAGTAGCTTTTAAAATTTCATTGTTGTATTACATAATGATGCAAAGCATTGAAAAACCCTCCACTGTTTATAAAGTCATTGCACATCAGCACTTTAGGTACTTGGTAGAAAACAAAATATAAAAATATATAAGAAGAAAAATTCCATGCTTTGTTTTTGTAAATACACAAATACCGAAAAAAACAACTGTTAGTGTTGCCAATGCTCCATGAAACCATGATGAAAGATATTTGGAAAATGCAAATGGAATCAAATACGCAAGAAAAACGAACAACTTCCAGTAGAGAGATGATATTCCTGAATATCATTGATACCTGTCGACATTCAAGTTTCTCTACTTTGTTTTCTTTTGTACTCTTTTCAAATACCTGGCTTCAAGTAGGAATCTTAATTAAATTTTTTGCGAGATCATAAAAATTGCTATCTTTTTTATGGTTATTTGAAAATAGCTGGACGCTGTTACTGAGCTTGCATATTTTCAATATGTGGCAGAAATCTTCTGATTTAAAATGCATGGAAGGTGAACCAGAGCGGCACTGTGCTGTGCTTAACCATGTTGATAATAGCTATGAATTCTGATTTACTGTGCACCTTAAAGCTGATGGCACAGATATCCACCTAATTTAATTGCTAGTCTTTTATTGCCCTAATAACGTTCGGCAAATGCAAAATCTCCTTCACTTTTTCACTTTCATCTTCTGCTTCCATTAGCAGCAGACCTTTTTATGTCTGGAACAGTGTTAATTTAAACACCTTTCACCAAACACAAACAGCTATAATGCTCACGCTGATCCATGCTGCTGTGGACACACCCAGGCAGACAGAATTCACAGCTTTTGTCTGATTGAAATCCCTGAATACAACCCAGCAGTGTAGACTGAGTCAGCTATTGAGGAAGCCTTGCATTGGCCCTTTAACCCTCCCAAAGGGAATGCAGGTGTTTGTGTTACCTATGTTTAGACATGAGTTTTGGACATGGCCCAGCACACCAATAGAACTCTCTTGCTCCCCGAGGACGACAATATTCTGTCTCAGTTCCCCCTAACACTGTCAGGGGCTCCCTAACCTGGCAGCTGCAACCTCATGCCCGGAGCAGCTGTCTGCCCAAACATCTGTGCTTAACCCATTATGACTCCTGCAGTTTTTGCTTATAAAGTGCCAACAGAAACAGTTTTATTGTTTCCTAATTTTATTACCCCATGTGTCACCTTTTAAACTGTTATTTTGCACATTTTTAAAGAGGAATATTAAGAACTTCTGTAGTTTTCTAATAACTGGTAACAGTCCAGGAAGCAGTAATAGAGAAAAAATAGCATTTTCCTATTATTATTTTATTTCTTTTCAACGTTGTGACTTTCATTTTTATTTTACCATTTATCATTGTCAGTGCCCTCATTTTGATTATAGGAATGCCAGAGTGATTAATACCTTATTCTGCCAGTCCATCTTGATCAACTTCACCCTGCAAACTGAAACTAGGTAGTTAATGTTCAGGGGTGAAATCCAGTCAATTTCTTTTGACTGTGCAGCATGACTTTCAAAGCAGGTGCTGGAGTGCATCCAAGGTGTCAAGGGGTAAAAGGCAAAGTAATGCACTGGACATGCAAACTCCACATAGCAAAGAGCCAACAGACTGTGAAACAACAGTACTGATTGTAATGTAGCTCTAAATATGTAGCTCAAATGAAAAAAATTAACTTGTATTTATAAACTTTGATAGAATGCCTTGCAAATATAACAACCCTGTACTACAATGCATTTTACTGGAAATGATGAGCCAGATCAATAAAAAGTAGTAAATAAAGGTTAGCTGGAAAGAAAGAGAGAAATTTACTGTCAGCATAATTCAGGTTTGAAGAAGTGAAAGAAACTGATTTGATCAGATAAGGGTCTTCATGACCCTGAGCAAACTGTCCTGTCCATAAAGCATGGTGGTGTCAAGTTCATGCTCTTTATAGTTTAGCTTTATGTTTTATGGTAGTGTCATGATGTGTTGTGGGCTGATTGTGGAAACAAATGCAGAATGGAAGAGACACAGTGTAGATGAAGAATGTTTAATCAAATTGATGAACAAAAAACTTACAAAAATCACAAGGAACAGGGAGCCAGATCAAAACAAATAAGCCAAGGAGAATAAAACCCAGTAAGGAGACAAGAGGAGATCGCAGAGCAGACCAGGTTAGTAATGGGATGTGATGCAAGGAACCAGCAAGGAGAAACTGAGAATGAGTAACTTGGGGAGGTTGTTTACTAAACAAGAAACAGATGGTTGATTAGAAACGGTTTGCAGCTGTGAGAGGAGCGAGTACAAGGCAAATTGAGGAGAGAGAATGAAAGTGGCACAAGGGGAAAGGGACAGTACAAGAACTAGGAAATAAATCTAACTCTAAAGAAAAACTAGACAAAAGAAACAATTTAACTTGACCAACAAAAAAATAACTAGACACAAAAAATAAACATAAACTAGAATCGCTAAGGAAGGACTGAATTGAAACCAAACGAAAACAAGACTGATGTAATAAAAAAAGAAACAAAAGAATACAGAATGATCAAACTAGAATAAAATAAACATCAAACAACCACAACCTCAGATCCCAACACTAACACAGTTAGTGTTGTGGTGTATCAGACAAAAAGCAAGTTCTGAACAGTTCTGCTGTAAAACATAAATGAACCTAAAAAAAATGCAAAGCCCAATTAGAATTCTGCTTCACTTGAGCTACTGATTGAATGAGGTAATCTGTTCTCATTTAAATGATAGCATTTTAGTCAAGCATGAGGCTAGCTTACTCATGGAAAACAAATTAGCTCCCCATCCCAGGGAAACTCTCTTCAGGACTGGCAGAGAGAGAAAATTGAGACAGGCACCAGTTGCGTACTCATTTGCCGTATCAGCATGCAGACACTTGTCTTCTATGGATGTTTTCATCGTGCATCATACATTGGGTGTCCCACAGCGCCATCTAAATTTTCTAAGGGGAACCAATATATCTGAAGACACCTTTACTTCATTTTTATAAATGGGCCTTGTCTTTTGAAGCAGCTGAAAGCCAAAACAATGCATGCAGAGTGGGGCACAGCTGCCTGGGGCATCATCAAAGTCTTACCTTAACACATGTGGCATGTCACAAAATATATCATTCAAAACCACAAGCGGATGCTTCTTCTTTTGTTTGTTTTCCAAGTGATCCCAAGTCAATTCATTAATGTCAGCTGTTGTGTTTAATACAGTATGTCTCTAGCAAAGTCTTCAAAGGTGGAAGAGCTACCTATTTGTCATTCTGTGATTTGTTTGTCTTGGTTGGCACTCTGCGCTGCTCTCTGTCTGGTGTAATGAGGAACGTGCTGTCTGCTCTGTGTTGCCAGAAAGCTTGTCATTGCATGGAGAGCTGCCACAAAAATGTGCTGAAGCCAGCATAGAAAACCTGCCCCAGAACTGTGATTTATTCAATTCACCCAAAAGAAATATATTGGTGGGAGAAAGCTGTCTTTACCCTTAACCCATTAATTCGTTCTTCACCAATCTTTCCTTCTTTTCCACCATCTGCTCTTCATCTCAGGTGGGCGAAAGGTGGGAACATGCTCAAGGAGGTCTCTGGGGACACCTATGAGGTTATCGTGGACCATTCATTCTTCACAGAGCCTGTTTCTTGTGAAGTTACTAACTCGCTTGGGAGCACCAACGTCAGTCGGAACGTTGATGTCTACTGTGAGTGACAAAATTATCTAGCGTGCCTGTGTAAATAAACAACTTTACAAAAATACAAGCTCCTACATGTTTGCTGTCAATTTCTTTTCTTTTTCTTTTTTCTTTTTTTGCTGAGCTCCAGAGATTGAAGCATGTCATTATTAGATGTTAGTAATTCATATAATTCATCGTGGGTTTTTATTCCAACAGTTGGGCCGCGTATGGCTGCCGAACCTCAGTCCTTGCAAGTTGACCTTGGATCTGAGGCCATTTTCAACTGTGCTTGGACAGGAAATCCTTCTCTGACCATAGTGTGGATGAAAAGAGGCTCTGGAGTGGTATGTGTCCTTTTTCACAGAATTTACCTCACTGAAATGTAAATATCCAAATACAGGCACATTTTCAGAAATGATCCAAAAGTGAATAGATTGCAATTCAATTCAAAAAGTGAAAATAATATATTCAATATATCTCACAAAAATTAGAATTATACATCTGAAGTTTTAATTTTCTTTTCTTCTTTTTTTGAGGATTGTTGCTTATAGCTAATACATTTTTTTCTTGGAAAATTAAAATATATAGATACTTGATGTGTCCTTGTACTACACACTATATCTGGGTGTGTTAATTATGAACCTCAGTTCAAATACAGTATAGCATGGAGGCAATTAGTCCATATCTCTGAGGGGTCAACAAAGCACACAGTTGTAGCTCATGTCCTGAAATATCTGTGTAGCTATTAAAGCAGTGACTCTAAGCTGCATCCCAGGTGTTGTGGATCTCTCCAAACATTTTGAATTCACTTTTCCTCTGAATTATTTTACAGCTGGGGTTATCCCTGTGGCTTGTTCACATTTTTTGCCTGCCTTTTTTTATCATTCAACTTTCCAAATAATGTGCTTAGACACAGTTTTTATAATGATAAACTTTGAGATTGTCAGTAATGCTCTGTTGAACAGGCGTCAACTCTACAGGCTTCTGCATTATGAAGTATTTCTAAATTAACCATTCTTATTCAATAGTTCAATTCATATTTATATTTGTGCTGTGAGCCATCATCATTAAGATGAAATCAAAGCAAAAGCCTCTCCAGAACTTGATGTATGTCTGGTTCAAGATGTAATTTCACCGTTACAATATTTTGTGATAGACCAAGAAAACTTCTTAGACATCTAGGAAGTTAGCCTTTGGGAACGGGAATTGGAAACCTTTGGTCTAAATGGAATACTCTATGAGAAATGGTTTTCAAGAGTTAACTACCGTACATTGCTTTGAATGTCTATTAAAACATTTTTTTTCACCCCATCTTTGTGACCTGTTCTCATGAGAGCCATTGCTTTGATCCAGAAAATCAGACTCATTCCACCTTTCCTTTTGTCAACATCAAAGGCCATAGCATTTCCTCCACTGAGCTCAGACCCTAAATTGGATTTTAATAATTAAGAGGAGCTGCCCTTTAAGGTATTAAGTGGTCCGTGTGCTGCCTTGGTACTTTTTCCTCCTTATTCCTGCCTGACTGCTATCAGAAATACAAAAGTTCTTTTGTGCTCATTGCAGCTGATGACCTATGATTTTTTCTTGCCTACAGGTTCTTAGCAATGAGAACCTACTAACTCTGAAAAACGTGAGGCAAGAGGACGCAGGGAAGTATGTCTGTCGTGCTGTTGTCCCACGTGTCGGAGCCGGGGAGAAGGAAGTCTCTCTTACAGTAAATGGTGAGTTGTGTCACTGTTGTGTCTCCCACAAAACTGATCATAATGGCCTCCACATAGCTGTTGTCTGTAAAACGTAGACAGTAGTGTGAATCTGGAGGTCTGAGGTCAACAGCAACAACAAGAAAGCAATTTGTCACTGTAGTCTGTTTCCTTTGTAGTTCACAGACGTCTTTCACTGAGAAACTTCTGATATAACATTCTGTTTTTCTTCAGTAATCTTTCATGTGATATATCATTTGCTTGAAAACATGGTTAATTTCCATCACAGGCCTTGAATTAAAATGCTCGCGTATAGATGTAGCACATAAAAACAGTACAAAAATATGCTCATGCAGATTAAGCTTTCTAACAAAACTAATTTGATGCACAATACACAGTTTTTTATTAGGCCTCTCTACTGTTAAACCTTTCCATAATAAAAGAAAAAAATAAAATAAACACAAACTACCCTTTCCGGACATGGTCTTACATTTCATAAACAGGTGAAATGTGCTTAAATGCTAATTAGATTCAGCATGAGTCACAGGGAGGCTGCCTTTTTCTGAGGCACTGACTAACTAATGAATACCAGCCTTGGTGGGAGACCTGGCAACTCTCAAACAAATGACTTCATTATCAGTGCTTGATATTCATGGAGCATGCTTCAGCATGGCAGAGGGTCTGAGTTGTGGGATTTACATGTTTCTTTTTTGTTGTTGTTTATTTTTTTGTTTTTTTTTATATCCCCCTGTGTCCATCTGTGAGAAACCTGGACAAAAACAAGACCTAAAAAGAAGGGTATTGTTAACACTTGCACTGGATCGTTGCACACTTTGAAAGCTAACAAAATGGTTTGCCTGTAAGCATCTCTCATGCTGATTTGGGGATGAAGATATTTCAAGTGGCAAACATGCTGTTTAAAGGTTTCCCTTTTCACAAACCCAGACACTGGTTTTGCATATCAGAGGGAACGAGATACCACCATTCCCTCAAGCAAAGGATCAGAACCATGACTTTCTATGGACTGCAAGAAGCCCCCTCGTTCTGGGAAAGGAATTAAGTCTAAACCCTTGCAAAAAGAGGAAAATTTACGTCTACTTCGATTGTTTCCCACTCTTTTGATAGCAACCTAGTGTACCATTCTCTTTGCAGCTTTATTATTTACACTGAATACGTTTCATCCACTGTACCCGCTGTTATTTTGATTGCACCTTTTTTTTCTTCCCAACTAATGGAGATTGTGTTGTTTTTCAAAATGATGCCATGAAAGAAAGATGATGGACTGTTTTAATAAAGATTACAACACAACTCAGGGCACTCTGGGAAACCTGCGACAAAGCTGAGATGACATGTTTACTTGGTCTCTGTAGATATCCTTCAAGTGAATTTGGAATGCCCTGCAGTCTTTTTTATTTCTTAATTCTCTTTGTTCATTGCCTTTTTTGTGTATTTCCAACCTCTGCACTTCAATTGTCATTTGACATTCAAAGCCTCCATTCTTTTTAGCCTTCTGAATAATTGAATTCCATCTCTTCTTCCCAACTTTCTGAGGAATCTTGAGTCAATTCTTACCCAGACCTTGAGGCAAATAAGATAGTCCGACTGTGCAAACATTGTGGTTGAAGTGGCGTCGTGTGGGGAGCTCTCACCCGATATTCATTGATTGCCCCATGCCACCATCTCATCCATAAATGAACCTCACTTCTCATCAGCCTTTTTTACCCCAACATCATCGACTGTCAGATGCACACAATTGATTGCGACCCTGATTTGCTAAGATAGCAGATGTGCAGGGTTTGTCAGCAGGATTGCTGTGGCACAATAACAGATCAGGGAATGAAGGCTGCACCACATTTCTAGTATTCATGATGTGACAGCATCTGTTGCACTTTTTGCTGTTTTTGTGTTATTTGCTTTTCCCGCAGTTATCCACTGATTCCTTAAAGCCATCATTTAAATTACATGTGTTTACAATTTGTCATCGCCTCTATCTCCCCCAGTCGTTTTGTGTCACTGACTCCCACTGTGGCATACCCACGTGAGCATGAGGGCTTTTCTTTCCCTGGGGAAGAATGTAATTTAATTATAATCAAACAGCTAGCAGGGGAAGCAGTTTGTGTTTAAATCACTAATGGTTATATATTGCTTACTGCAGTCAACCATTTTTCAGAAAGGATTCGTTTTTCAGGATTCGTTTCTCAGTGGGATAATGCATGAAGGACAGTCTGGGACATTTTTAATTGTATGTTATTTATATAGCAGAAATTACTACTTCAAACTGTCTAAATTTTTATTATGCTGATGAGATGGGAGTAAGAGACCATTTCCAGGATGCTTGAAAACTTTTAACTTTTAAGCTAAAGGTCACCTATTTACACTGTAAATAATTCATCCGTGTGTGTAAGCTTTTTACTTTGTGTAGGCAAAATGACACTCAAATGAACCCAGTACAACTGAAATATGGAGTGAGGGCTGGAAAATCTTGCAATATCCCACAGAAGACTTGTTTTTTTTAGTTCCTAGACTGTCTTTATACATCTGGGTAATTAGCAGTCCTGCATTTTTAAAACTGGATGTTATATCATAAAAGATAAAAAAATTTAAAAAAAAACTCCATTTGGGCTGTAGCAAATGTAATCTGATCAGTTTAACTTCTGTTCTGTGTAAAACGATAACTTCAAACATCACAAGATGTCTGCTCAGCTGAATCGTTTATTCCCTGTTTTTAAAACCAGGGTGATTCATTTAAAGGTTTTGGCTTTTACAGAAGATTACATTGCCTACCCTGATTTTTAGATTTGAATGTCTTACTCATTTGGGGTATAAAATATAAATTCACTTGAACTTTTGTTTTTTTTACTTCACAAGCTAAAAATTATATTTACAGCCTTATATATATATATATACAAAAACAAATAAACCTACATTAAGTGGAACTTCAGCTCATATATATATATATATATATATATATATATATATATATATATATATATATATATATATATATATATATATGAGTCTATATATATATATATATATATATATATATATATATATATATATAGCTGAAGTTCCACTTAATGTAGGTTTATTTGTTTTTTACAGTTATAATAAAACAGCTTACTTGCTGATAACTATTAAAATGGAAATAAAACAATTTTCTTTCCATGCCCAAGTGAGCATTTTTCTATTGATAAAGTGTTTGCACAAACCAGACCTTATGCTGTTATTTATGACAAAGTCATGTGTCTGTTTTTTTTTTTTTTTTTTTTTGACAAAAACATGAACTGACTCTGATTGACAGGTTTAGTGGAAACCTCTCAGTGGAAATGATGGCTATGAATGAGCAAAGCATTGACAGTTTCTCATGTTTCTGTTTTTTTTTCCCCTTTGTGAAAAAAAAAGAAATAAGTGCATAAAAACCCTTAGTACCACATGGAGGCAGAGGGGGAAATGTCAAGAAAATGTCTAACTTAAGGGAAAGAAATGTTAGCTGTGGCATTTTGACACCCACACTGATATTGTGTAATCAGCTTGCAATGTCCACTCTTGAGGCAACACCTCCTCAAATGAGCGAGGGATACATTGCACCTAACATTTTGATTACTTTCCCTGCTGCCGAGCATTGATGTTGTAGTGCCACCCACCTCCCTATTACGAACATGTTTGTGCTCTGATCAGAGTGCAAGTGGCAAACACATGCATTCATAACGCACACACAAACTCTTTTAACCCAGCCTGTGTGATAAAGATATCTAATTATATACCTAATTTGCAGCTCAGATCCATAGAATAAATCTTCCCCAGCCACTAAAACCAATAAAATCTTGTAGACAACTGGAGTTAATGCTAATGATGTACATTCAATTTTATAATCAGGAGGTAATGCATGTAAATGACACCTGTCAAACATATCATGCCTTGTAGACAATAGTATATACTTTTTGTATGTGTAGGTAAACTCATTGCGGAAGAGGATCAGCTTTTAGTATATTTACCTTCTGCAGCATTCAGCATGCAGCAGTAGGAGCATTACAGCATCCTCCAGAAGCATACCAAGACACCATCTGGCAAAGTCTCATTAAAATGCTAATTCATTTTAATAAGAGACAGGTAATAAACTGCAATTATGTATCGTCGGAGAGATGGCAGAGAGCAGGAGTTTGAGGAAGTCGGCAGGGATGTGAGTTATCTTGCTAATCAAGAATCTATCTCGCTTCCCCCCAAGTTAAACCACATCCTTAACCTTAACCGTCTCACATATGATATAATGTTAGGTTTGAACTGAGTTTCAGTACAATGGAATCCTCTTATGTGGAAACTGTTCTCTTTTAACCCAGTTATTAATTCCCAAAGCTGGGATCATTCTTGTTTTTTCTCAGTGTCTTCTTTAATCAAGCCCAAAAAAAGAATCTTCACACTGTATTTGATAAATTATGAAGTACTTTATGTCTACAATGAAAAAAACTTTAGTTTCCATATTTACATAGTTTTTGCCATAATGTCAGACAAGTTGGGTTACTCATTCTGGTAGATATTTCGGAAGTGTCAGACTGGTGGTGGAAAGACAGACATAACAGCAGAAAAAAGTACATCCAAGTAATAGATGGGATACATACTACATTACAGAACAGGGTTGAAAAGTTCATTTATTTCAGTAATTCTATTTAAAAAGTGACTTTTCAATCATTTTTTTCCAAGTGGTTCAATTTTAAATTTAGTAATAATGGATTAGAAAATAGGAAAAGAAGAGACCGTAGGACATAAGGTCGTGATTAAAGAAACTGCCTTTCAAAGAGTACTAACTCAAAGGACATTTATTGGAAAGCTGGATCATGGAAGAAAAATTGTGGCCCAAAAAAGTTCACAACCAACAAAAATAACCACAAGCTTCATGGAGTTGTAAAACTAAGGCCATCGTGGAGTTTGGTGCAAGTTCACAAGGTGTTGAGTGCAACTGGGGCCATAGTTTAAAGGGCCCCCACATGTGTATCAAGGCGATGGGCAACAACTGTTGCATTCCTTGTGGTTAGCTATTCTTGAACTGGAGACATTTCTATATTAAAAATACTTTTTTACGTCTTAAATAACATTAACATTTTCTGAGGAATTAAATTTTTGTTTTGCTTTGCTGTAAAATAGTAATCATTTGCCCATCACTTGAAGTATATCAGTCTTGTAAAATGAATGAGTACGAGTTTTACTTTTTGAATTAATTGACTGAAATGAAGGACATTAACAAAAAATATACCAACTCATTGAGATCCCCTGTAAACAAATGTAATTTATAAAATATGAAAGAGTTTACTCTACTGAACACATTTAATATCAAGTGTGAACTCACCTGAATGATGGAATTAGATTGGATGTGATTGTCTGCATATTGCTGTCACCTGGTGTGAGCATCTTCCTGGCCAGATGGTGAGCAGTCCAGCCGCTTAGGCTGAGCTGCCCTTGTCTGGCAAGGTTTTGTACCTGGACCAAAGCTGAAGATACAGCTGCTTGAAGTCCTTGCCAGTCGCTCCTGTTGATTTAACAAGCTTATTATCAGACACATCTGTTATTTAGTGTGTCAGTAGTTAATATGAATTAGACAAAACAAATAGCACAGCTAAAAAGGGAATCTCAGATAAGCAGTTTTATTTATTTCCATTCACAATAAAAGCTCAGATTTGTGAAGCCTTATTTAGTGACCTGCTCATGCAGGGTTAAGCTCTGCTTCAGGCAAATTGACTGCATTAGAACACTGAAAAGCAGGCTACACGACAAGAACAATGGTATCTTGTAATTTTATTTGCTCATTCGACATTATGCTCCAGAGGACATAATTTGTCACATTTGGAAAAATCAAGCATGGAATATATTAGTGCATTCTTGATCCACACTGAGGTCTAGCTCACTATATACCTGATTCAATAAAACTGGTAGGCATGGATGAGACATGTGCATTACACAGAGATCCAATCTGTCTTGGGAGTCTTGAATTAGTGGGTACTTCAGCAGTCACTGCTTGGAACAGAAGACATTTTGTAGTCTAATCTACCAGCAAGAACCTAATTGAGCAGAATTATCATATGACCTGGAACTGAAAATGTCTTTAAATATTCATGTTTCAATTTCTGTGTGTTTTTTTTTTCAGGGCCACCTACTATATCCAGCACACAGACTCAGCAAGCATTACACGGAGAGAAAGGTCAAATAAAATGTTTCATTCGAAGTACACCTCCACCAGACCGCATTGTGAGTACATTTAGATTGACTTACGCTTTTCATCACTTTACGCTTCAAACATTACTCACTGCCATTGCAAACCAAGGATACAAAAAATCTCTTATTTCATATACAACTTTGATATATATATTATATATAAAATGTAAAAATCCCTAGGTTTTCAAGTTGTTTAAAAAAGGGGACATTAATTTACAGTTTTTACATTGTGATTTATAAGCATATTTTGTAATACTTCACTATACCAAATATTGTGCATTTGTATGTCAGATTATTTAATAAGAATAAGTTGCAAGAAAATATTGTTTGTTTCAGAGGATTCATAAAGCTGAGGGTTAGAAAATGTTTAGAAAAGGTCCAAACACTGACAAAGTCTTTAATTTTTAAATTGATGTGCTGTCAAAAAGTAGAAAATAAGGTACTAAGTCTTTTTTTTTTTTTGTCTGGACCAGTTGTTTTTATTCAAATATGAACTTTGTTTTTTACTGTTTCATCTTCTTTAAATAATGCTCTTTTTTTTCTCTGGTGTGTAAATAATAAAACAAAGTGGTTTGTTTACATAGAAAGCACAGTAGCATAAACTGTTGCATGAAGTCCCTGAACCATCAAACTCGTTGAGTGGGCAGTTAAAGGGCTGTGAAGACTACATACAGTTTGTGTAAAATCTGGTTAACATTAATTAAGTCAGATTACTGAACAGGCAAGTAAACAAATGGACACAAACAACACTTTTTTTTCTTTAATAGGCACACTCCGCTAGAAAAATTTTATTGGTATTCTAATATTTATAAGTGTTTGAACCAGCATAAACCACAAATAACTTTTATAGGTTGTTCAGTCTAAAGCTTACTGACAACTTATTTTAAAAAATCTTATCACCGTTAACTTCTGTGACATACACAACTACTTATTGAGATGAAAAAATCCCCCCTCAAACAAATTTTCCTTTTGAACCATCAAACTCGTTGAGTGGGCAGTTAAAGGGCTGTGAAGACTACATATGGTTTGCATAAAATCTGGTTAACATTAATTAAGTCAGATTACTGACACCCTGCAATGTGCTTTTGTTTTGTTCAGATAGAAAATTCATCAAGGCAATAATTTGCTACACTTACGTTGTTAAATACAAATTTTTATGCCATCACGAGAACATCAAGAAAGAAAAACATATTTCACCGAAGGATAAGCATAGAGTAGCATCAGTCTTTATTCAATAAAAGCATCAAATTGTTCTAAGAACCCATTTTAAAAGCATGCAAAAAGTCTTCAAAGGTGCATCAAGTTTTCTCAAATGGAGAAACATGTAATATATCGAGAAGTGATTACTAAGAAATTGAAGTCTGATGATCATTTACAGAAGAAGAAAATCCATCATCCAGCCATCCATCCATGGTTTCTTGCAACCAAAGAGGAAAATGCTATAATCACCTTTCGTCCACTTTTAAAAACGTGGTACATTTTTAAATTTTCAATGAGTATAAAAAGCACATATATAGTGAGGTTAACATTCTTGTGTTACATTTTAGAAAATGTATCAAAGATAGTACTCCAAAACGTGATTTAATATTTAGCAAGATCATAAGATGTGCAGCATCGACAATCTGCAAATTGATATTTGCTGTGAAAGTATGAAGGCCAGTGGTTAGGAAAACCTTGGCTAATTGTTGCTCTTCTGTTTTTATGTATTTGTAATTTACACTAGATTTCTACATTCATTTTGAATAAAGTCTGGGTCAATAATCCCTAGTTCTATTTTGTCAGGCCTGGTCATGGAAGGAAACTGTTCTGGAGTCTGGAACCTCTGGCCGCTACACTGTGGAGACTGTCAACACAGAGGAGGGAGTCATTTCAACACTTACCATGAGCAACATCGTCCCAGCCGACTTTCAGACCATCTACAACTGCACAGCATGGAACAGCTTTGGCTCTGACACAGAGATCATACGCCTTAAGGAACAAGGTGGGAGCCAAGGTTCGACAGGTTCCACCTTCCTCTTTTCATATGCAGTCCTCGTTGGTGTTTGGATAGTAGCTGTAGGTTGTCTGTCAGCTGTAATATCTTTTATGGATCGCTGTGGTTGATTCCATCTGAACAATTTTATTTGTGAATATACAGTGCAAAAGTTTCAATGTGACAATATGACGCTGTCATATATTAAAAAATCAATGTTTCATATTTTGTTTATTTAAAACTTAATCTTCATAGATGAGAAGAATTCCTGTCAATTTGTCCCAACCTTTCCAGGTATGGTTACATATTTAAAAAAATGTGAGCATGCAGAGGAATGTTAATTATTTGTAGTGCAAAGGCTGATATAAACTTTGCTTTCATCAGCCTTAGGATGTCATTTGGTGGTTTATGTAGTATGCCAGCATTGCAACAAACCTGGTTTAAAAAGTTCATGGGAGCCTGGGTTGGCTGAAAATCAAATTATTTATGCTATTACAGAGAACCATAGATAAGTGGTGCTGGAGCACTTTTAATGAATCTGCATATTTTTGAATACTTTGAGTAAAACCTGAAACCATTCTTTTTTCTCTCCAGCGTAGCAAAAGTCACATTTCTTAAATTTTTTTCTTGCAAAAATTGTTAATAGAAATCACATTGTTAATAGAAATCAAAAGTGAACAAGTGCTTTAGTGTTGTAGAAAGATCACCTATTATTTTGCATTTGTTTAAAGCAGAAAATATTCATAAATGTATACTGGGACCTTTTACTTGCACAACAGCCTATAAATACATGCCCTCTGGTTCAGTCTTTTCCTCGATGCAATGATCTGTTCCACAGCGCACAAACGTGATTATTCTTAAATGGATGCAGAAACATTTCCACTCTATTCAATGAAAAGTATAGCACTATGTAAAATGGTTCTAGTAGTCCGAGTGAGTGTAAATTAAATTTTATCAGTCTGGACAGTGAGAAAATAAAAGGAAAATGTTTACCCATGATGATTAGTTTTATTTTGGATTTGCTGCTGGTAGAACATACGGCTTTCTATTTGCAACATTGTTCTCGTCTATTTCTACAATTTGCTGCCACAGACAATTAAGAATAATCCAAAAAACATGTTCACAATGACTGTTTGATATCGTGTGCTTTCCTGCCAGGTCCAACGTTCAGTGTGAATGTGTGATATGTGTGGCACTCTGTTATAGAAGGACATGTCTTGATGTTGCTTTCTCCAGAATCTGTCCCAGTGGCTGTGATCATCGGCATCGCTGTGGGAGCTTTCGTCGCCTTCATTGTCCTAATGGGCACCATCAGCGCGTTCTGCTGCACCCGCTCCCAGAGAAGTATGTCTCCTTTATGCTTTTGTCTCCACCAAAGCACGCATGCCAGAGTACGGTTTTATGCCTGAGCATTCTGAAAAATGTCCATCTGTTTAAATGTATTGATGGGGACAAACATGTTGTCACCTCCAGAAAGGATGTGTAAAAAGCCTGAAAAATAAATCCTGGTTTTCTTGAGCATATTTTTTATAGTGGAATATACTGTAAAAAGTTATCTTTTCATTCCCCACAGTTTTATTCAGTGAGGAGAAAAATCTAATGGAATAATTGTCTGTGGTAAAGGTTACTGGTGCCACCATGCTATAAGACTTCACAAGGATGCAGAGAGAAGGATCTTTGACATTCCTCTTTACATTATCTCTCCAGACAATCCAAAGACCTGGCTCTCTTATTATCTCATCTCTTCAGCTAATGTTATACATTTTTTAGGCTTTAATGGTCTTTATGGAAGAAGGAATAGACAAAAAATAAATGAGTTGAAGAAAGAGAAGAAATAATTTAAATGACCTGAGACCAGGGGTCAAGCCCAGGACAACTGTGTTGAGGACTAAAGCTTGTGCATATGGTGCACATGCTGTGCTCATTGAGCCACTTAATTTTCAATTAGATTTAGATACAGGGAGTGAAATGGGAATGCAAGAAGTTTGATGTTGTAACTATGTTTTTGGTTTTCTAGTAGCATCTCGAAGACAGTGCCAGTTGTTACTCACTAGGCAGGGTCATCCTGCAGTTAGAAAGTTGTGGTTCGATTGCTACTTCTTAATTGCCTTAGGAAATGCAATTAACCTTAAGCTATGGAGTGGTATACAAGTTTTCAAACAATGTGGCGGGGTGAAACAGACTCATAATGCCTCTGAGTTGTCTCAGAGGCATCACCAGAAAAGCCCTATTGTTCAGTCCAATTACATTTTTTCTTGCAATCTCTGACAACTGCAAAGACTGTAATGTATCATAGCTCCTCCACCTTAGTTAACTGTTAGCTTGAGGTATGTTTTCACATATTAATCTTTGTTTCACACCAGACCCAAAAGTAGTCCAAAGCTAAATCTTAGTCTCATTTGATTAAGAGCACAGGTATATAAGCATTTAGCAGACTCAGCATTTTAGCGCCGGTGATGGTAAAACAGAAAACACTTTTTTTTAGATAACTGCTAAACAACTGGTAGGCATGTAAACAGTATTTAATAGTCGTTTGATCTCGTGTCCCCAAGATGTCATTCTTTTCTGCACTTCTCTAAGAATGAACTTTGAAGGTAGCTCTTTCACCATCCTGTTCAGTTTGTCTGGAGGTTTGTATACCTCCAAAATGCAAAATGCAATTACATTTTGTAATATATATACAAAATGTAATTGCATTCCATTTCAAATTATTGTTAAGGCTACCGATAATTGTGCCAAAGCCAATTTTGTTTAAATCTAATTTGATCACTTTCCTCCCATTGAATAAATGTAATCAAGTCAAAAGTTGGTTCTTTCTGTGTTTGTCAGTCATTTTGCTTTAGCAAAACCTGAATTTATTTTGAGGCTTTTTAACATTTTTGCCTGGAGTGTCAAGAAGTTTGTTTGCATCTGTTGATATTGCTTTGATTAAAGAAAAATCAGTGCAATACAACTAATCCAAAAGATTTGTTTTTAAAAAGATTCAAAACAATTAACACAAGATGAATCACTGGTCAAGATGGATTTGTCCGTTCATTTGTTTGTTTGGTGCAGAAAGAGCCAGATTGTGTTCAAGACTCATTTCATGCAATCTCAGTCTGGCCTGCATTTGCAGGCTATGTGCATCTTTCATTTTTTTTTTTGCTGCCACCCGCCCATAATCCAAGTGACTCAAGTTAGGTAGAGGCAGTCAGTTGCTGCCTCTATCCAAAAACCACGCTGTGCTACTGGTCCCTTCAGCATGTTTATTGTCTGTATACTACAGAGGAAGTGCACCTGGTTATGCCCTCACTGCCCGTCTCCATCTGTGCTCACCAGAGAGAAGTTGCAAGCAAAATTAAGACAGAAAGTAAGAACTTGTTATATGACAGAATAACATCAGCTTTGTCCCAAACAGAATGAGCCATCGTTGGGGAAACTGCAGATTTCATTTCTGTAAAGAGAATAGATAATCTTGTCTTGGCAGGGAAACAGTGTGATTAATAATGCTTTGTGTTGTTTTTCGGGAAATGGGTGCGCTCTAACAGAGCAAACCCGGGGTGTCTCTGCTAAATATTACAACAGTGCAAATTATTCTGTCAACAAATACAGATTGCCATTTGTCGCAGCTCATTAAGGTGCGTTGTTTACGCTGTCCGTTCATGGCAGATCTGAAGGGAGTTGTGTCTGCAAAGAACGACATCCGAGTGGAGATTGTGCACAAAGACCACAATGCGGCACGGGAAAATGAAGAACACAACTCTATGAAACAGCTGATGGTGAGTGTGAGTGTCACCGCATACTTACTTTACACTTCTTTCTTTTTTTCTGCTTGCAAAAATAAGTTATCAGCTTTTTTTTCCCTTTTGTTTTGCATCTGCATGTCCTTTCAGAGGCGACAACTAAATAATGAATGAACGCTACGGCTGGTTGTGCTGTTTTCCGTGGAATAAATTATTTCATGAGTAATGGACGTGGAAAAAAGGCATCTTGACTGAGCGTGCTTTTTAGTCCAGGGAATAATTTTTTCATTGTGTAGTGTCGGTTGCATGAAAGGAACAAACCACAGTCGACATACAACAGTGCATACTATGTGATCCTTTCAGGAGATTTATTATCTACATGTCTTATTGGGCTCACAGAAGAGTACTTCTTCTTTTGTGCTTTACTTTGGTCGTCTTGCTGTTAGTTTTTAATGTTTTAGAGTTGCAATGCAGACTGCATTAAATGTGAGAGCAGAGAATTGAGCTCAGCTACCTCACATAGCTGCATTTTGTAAAGATAAATAAAAGATATTCATGGATGAATTATTAATATCGTCTGCCAACCCTGAGTGAAGGTGAAGCATGTTTGACTGATATTAAAAAAGAAGAACAAGTGATAAAAGTTAAACCAGTTCGTTTCAGAACATTTCTTTTTCTTTTTCTGTGAGCGCAGGAGCCTCGGAAACGGCTCCGTTTCTTAATATACTTTACTTGATGTCTGTGTAGGTTGAACGAGGAGAGTTCCAGCAGGAATCTGTTCTGAAGCAACTGGAGGTGTTACAAGAGGAGGAGAAGGAGTATCAGCACATTAAGGTACGGCTCATGATCAATGGCAGCACGAATGCGAGAACCTGGGAGAACAATAGGGAAAAGAAGGTGGTGGGAGAGAAAATACCTTGGGGGCAAATGAAGGGCTTCAGTTCTGGAACGAAAATAACTAAAAGGGCAATAATTCTTCTCCTACATTGATTTAAAAGTATAAAGGTCTTGGCAAAGGGGTTGGGTATTTATCAACAGCATGTATTTTTATTTATTTTTATTCTTTTATTATTCTGAAAACTCTCAATTTTATTTTCAATCCTCCCAATTTTTGCTTAAAAAAGCATAAATTCAGGTTTTTGAATTTATGCTTTTTTTCTAAAAAAAATATTTCTTTCTGTCTTGGTCCTCTTCAAAAAGTAGCTTCAAAAGTTTACAAACTCAAAATTGATTACATGGCTAACATGCTCCGTAACCCACTGTTTGCAGTCAGGTTACAATGTTCCTCTCAATCTGATCTACTTGGCCAGCTTCACTAGGAGACAGGTTTCAATCTCAGGTACACTAAATAGGCAGTGGCAGAATCACAGCAAGTGAGGAAAACAAAATGTGACTCACGACTCAGGTTGAGCCCTTCTGATGACAGCTAAAAAGAAAACAGAGTGATAAATTTAGAAACTTGATGTAAGAATCACTGACCTCTGATACCTCACCCAGTTTTTGATCAGTGACACTAACTGCATACTAGATCCATCTTTTAATATCTTTTACTCTGCTCCCTTATCTTTTTGCCATTTCTATTCAGCTTGGTTTTAAATATACATTTTAAAAAAATTATAAAATATAATAAATGTTTTCTATGGTCCTTTAAAATGCAAAAGAGCTTATTATTAATATATTTTATTAGTAATATAATAAAATATATATTAAAAAAATATATAAATAAAATAAAATATCAAAGCATGAGCTTTGATATTCCTATATCTCTTGAAAGTAACCCCTCAGAAGGAGCTTTGCAGTTGTCATGCACACAATGTTTTTAAATGAAACACATCAGTTAATTTAAGCAGGTGTTTTTCTTTTGACATACATTTTGGTCAGAAAGACGGCAAATGACACGAGATGTCATACACACATTTTACTGAGTTTTGTCTCACCAGAAACTTTTCAGAGCCTAATTTGTCCACTTCTGAACATATCAGTGTCATGATTGGTGCTTAGACTTTGACAGATGGCAATACATACATTATGGAAAGTAAATATTTTTTCTAACCACAATCTCTTGCTCTTTAACAAATTTAACCTGCCAAATTTATTAACTTGAGCCTTAATAAATGTATAAGTCCATGCAACTCAAGATAAAGTAGATAAGTAAAACAAAAGTGTAAATAAGTTCAAAGTTAATTTATGAAGTTCAATCTGGTCTTACTTTATTGATGATCTTTTACATAACTTGTATAAGTTATATAGGTTGCATAACACTCCACCCCCTCAACTTTGATTGTCCACAGATATGAATAGGAAGGTACTGAGACTAAAGTGAGCCTATCTAGTTTAGAAGCTTTCATCTATTGTTCCATTTTCCAACAAGGCTGTAAGTGTCTGTCTTGTGAGCCTTTGTCATGACTTCTTTTGTGAATCCTGAACTCCAATGGAATCAAACTATACTTAAATACATATGGGGGGGACTGTTTCTCAGTTTGCCAGAGAATGACTTTGGCATTCTCTCAGAGGAGCTAGTTAAATATTTTTATAAAATATAAACCCTTGTCTTGTATTAATTTGCTGATTAAAACAGTATATTAAATTAAATACAAATAACATTAGCCAATGTTGTGTGCAGAGAATTGTAGTCAACCACAATTATGAAAAAACACAGAACAGCTATCACTAATTGAGACTCCTTTATGGCTTAGGGTAAAGAATCAGATCTTTTGACCCAATCCTAAATAAGCGCAAGATATTATTAAGTACACCATGTTAGGCAATGTTTTCTTTCAACCAGAGAAAAACCTAATGTACCGTATATATTTTTTAAAATTCTAGGTGCTAAAGGTAATAGATGTAGATAGTCAGCATAGCTCACTCTCTTTCTCAAAGCATGAGAACAAATATCAAAAATAAAGCAACTCACACAAAAACAAACAAGTCAACTATATTTAGCAGAGGCAATCAATGAGAAAACCTTCCACTGCTTTCAAAGAGAGTCTGACATTTCATTAGTCGGTTGTTTCAAGAATCACTTTAACCTACATGTTAAAGTGATGTAGGTGGTATCCATTAACTCTGCACGTTGTCTCTTGAATCTTTTATGGAGAGACAAATTCCACTATGTTTATCTTTGCTTTTGTCCATTTGCTTGCTGGCACTGGCTCCCTGAAGTGTGCTTCTGTTGTGTTTGCCTGCTTACCTGCTGCTGCCTCGGGGGCCAGATTTTTTGATCCTCCTTAATGACAGCGTGCATGAGGCGAGAGCAGACCGAGCAAGAGATGAAGGCCAGACGCAAACAATCTCCCTGTCTGCTTTCAGATAATGACAAGCATAACGAGGATCCTCTCAGGTTGTCTCTCCCATTATGAGCTGCCTTCTTTTGGGATTCGAAGCCACACTCGCTGTGCTTGACATTCACATCCATTCATAGGAGAACATTAAAAAAAGCACACATGCCCCTAGCTGGACCCTTAGAAACAACACAATGCAGACAAACAAGTGGCACAGCTGTAACTACAGAAACAGTTCTAACGCTGACATGGAATTACAGACACTGTGACCCATTAAGGTCTAATTAAAGCTGGTATGCATGTGAACTTTGCAGTGACACGGACGCCACACTGAGCATAGAGCCACGGCTTAATTAGTGAGGAACGCGGATTCAAGGACAGAGTAGTAGCACACCAAACCTTCACACCAAGTTTCATCTGCGCTTTCTTTGACACATGAACGAACTGTTACTTTGTGTTGTTTGGTTGGAGACATTTTGGCCTTAGCTACTCTCCTGCCTTGTCTTCAAGTATATAAAAAAATACAGTTATAAGATTAGTTTTGCTTTAATTACTCTCAAAAAATATTTTTTGTCCTTTTTATTTTTAGGTGTTGTTAGGCTAGGAGAAAAGAGGAATTTCACTACTTTTACAAACAGTTTAGGTGTTTATAAAAGTTGTGTATTTTACTAGCCAGATTCAAATTTAGCTGTTTGTTCTAATCTTGGCTTCATACAGAGGAAAGTGGAAATTTTGTGTGCTGTAAATAAACCTGTGGGGAGTAGGGTCAAAACATCTTTGCCAGCAATAAAATGTCTTAAATATTGCTCTTGCCTCAACTTTTATTGCTCAGTATTTGCAAGTCTGGCCAACATGATCTGATTGGCTTCATTCACTTCCTCCGCTGCCATTGCCAAACTAAAACCATAGGGAGTCTACAACTCTAAAACAGCACAGAATAACATCGTTATTGTTTGCAATTCTTCCTTCTGTTCAATTTTTGATTAAATCTATTTTGGTAAATCGAGGTCAATGGGACAAATCCCAGACTGATCGCTAAAGAGAGATTAGAATTAGGAAGGCAATGGTCTTCTACTTTCAGTGACATTAAGATTATTATATAGTGCATGTATTTCAGTAGTCCAGTTTAAGAGAAACACATTGCTAACATACAGAATACTTTTACAAAGGCCAATGTTTTCAAACCTTTATTTCTGTTGATTATGATTTTCCATTCACAACTGATAAAAACATTAGAATATATCAGACCAATAAAAAAATAATTTTTATACAGAAACTAGGCTTAATAAAAACTTAGTTTAATACCTCCTTAAAACAGTTGTTTTCAAAGATGCTTTTCATCTGACACATTCTAATTTATAGAACATAACTGTATGATGAATGAAACTGAACATCTAAGCAAACAACTGTTCTCTTATTTGTCATCTGTATTTATTTTATTGTCTTCAATAGGACCCTACAAATGGCTATTACAGTGTCAACACCTTCAAAGAGCACCACACGCCTACCATGACAGGGAATCAGACCGCTGAGGTGAGGAACTCCACCAACACCAGTACCCTTGGCAAGCAGCGAGTGCCAACAGGCATGTCCTTCACCAACATCTACTCCACGCTGGGGGCAGGCCCCAACCGCCTGTACGACTATGGGCAGCGCTTTGTGCTTGGAATGGGCAGCAGCTCCATCGAGCTCTGCGAGCGGGAGTTCCAGCGTGGCTCTCTTAGCGACTCCAGCTCTTTTATTGACACGCAGTGCGACAGCAGCATCAGCAGCTACAGTAAGCCGGATGGCTATGTGCAGTTTGATAAAGACAGCAAGGCATCTGCCTCTTCCTCTTCCCACTACTCCCAGTCATCCTCACAGAACTCTGACCTCACCCGACCCCTTCAGAAGCGGATGCAGACCCATGTCTGACCACCAGAGAGGGAGGGTGTTTGGCTGAGGAACAGGATTGTAAAACTGTTAAAGATTCCACCTGCAGGATCCCCTGAAGTATCAGTGTTTGTAAAAATTTCCTATGGGACACTCAAACAACGACTGGACTTGATGGACATTGTGACCGGCTTAGACATCAAAATGTCCCCAAAAAATGAATCAAGAAGCCTTATATTTTCTTCATGTTTGAATCATCAATGCTCTCTCCCCTTTTTTTTTTTACCTAAAATACAGATGTGCCACTGAGAGCTTATTTGCCAACACAGACACTACAAGTTCGGAATTTGACTTGCGATACTTGGTTTCTACATTCAGATTGTTAAGGAATCAGAGAGCATGATTTCAAGGCTTTGTGTGACAATCAGCTCTGCTGGCATGGATCTGAAGACTGTGACACAGAGAAAAAGTGAGTATTCAGCGCAGCACTCTGCACAAACTGCCAGACAATGAAACAAAGCCAACGTCCTGCTGCCCTCTTGTAGTTTAAAGCACAACAATGAATGTGCATGTTATTTTCTGTCTGTTAAATTTATAACTTGCAACATTTCATCCTTGCCCGTTCACACTGTGTGCTAAGGTTAAGTTGTTGCAGGCTGAGGAGAACTTTAAAGAAATGCCTATTTCCCCCCTCTTTTTCTATATCTGAGCTTCACAAGAAGAAGAGCAAAGATCTCAATTGAATTTTCTGAGTCATGTTTACACTTTGACGCTGCGATAAAAGAACATCAGTGTTCACACATGACTGTAATTTATTTTCAAGCATCTTAATTTTTTGACTCATTTTCCACATAGCGCAGAAATATGCACAAGTACCTCTTCATGTCTATATCTATCTTGCCTTGAGGGTCTGTTTGAACTGGGTCATTGCTAACTTACTAAGTGAGATAGACTAACACTATCAGCAGTCCAGCTTATGTGGAGCTGCATCCAATATTTTGTTTTGATACCCAATCTAGTTCCAAGACACATAAAACAAGAAAGCTTACAAGCTACAACTTGCTTTTGTCAGTTGTTTTTTTCTTCTAAATTTAAAGGTCATCAACAACCCTGATAAATAAAAAGTAAACATAATGTTCTGGCTACTTGTGTGAATATCCTATTAGTATTGTCGGCATCACTGTTGACACTGGGGCTTAGTGCATCCTGACTGTATACCTACTAGTGATTGTGCTGGTCGAACATGACAAACAGATAGAGGCGGTTTTATTTATTTTTCTGTTTTTACATTGGCTATGAAGACGGTGGTGGAAACCTAATGCCTGTTCTCTTCTCTTCTGTGTGTGACATATATATTAGGTTTTTCTCAGTACCTAGTTGCTTTTGCTGTACTCAGCCTTTAGCCACTCAGATACTAACTTTCATACCACAATACCTCTTGTAATCATAATTGTTCTTTTTAGGGGGCTTTGTGGGAAAACCCAGACTATTTTCCAGAGAGTTTTTTAAAGTACCAAACCCTGCAAATTCAAATAGGTGATAAGCCAAAGCTATTATATCCATTTCTTTCTAAGCAGAACCAACAAAGTGATTTGTTTGTTTTGCCTGTGTTTTTAAAGCACATGTAGAAAAAGGACATTATGCACTGTGCCTTCCAAAAGTGTTTACACCTCTTTAGCAGTTATATGTTTTTTTTTAAACTATTGGCTTTAATGTATTTTATTGGGATTTCAGATGATCGACCATCACATAGTAAAACTAAATATGAAGCAAAAAGAAAAGGATGTTTGTATTTTACGCTATTTATCTTCCCATCAATTCTGTTGTACTCAGGGCAATATCCAGTGTTTGTTTTCCTTTACACATAAAGTATAAAGGCCAGAAAATTAAGCTTTAGTTTCATCTTGGCAGATTCTTCTTCTGCATGCCGAGTGGGACATTGTAAAATGGACTTCTTATTGCCTTTTATGTTTTCACCTTTCCGTACAAACCAAATTTGTAGAGTGCGAGACTAATAATAGTAATGTTGACATACTCCTAACTGAGCTGCTCCTTCAAAATTACCTCATGCTCGCTTCTCCGATTAATGCTGTCATTGCTTGGCTTGTTAGTTGGAAAACCCTACTCATTCTATTTCTGGACGATGAAATGGATAATGGTCTTCAAGGCTTGCAGAGCTTGTGATATTGCTTCAGAACCTATCTGTGCTTCAGTACATTCACCAATTTGACAACGGGCAAGTTCGCTGTGTTCCTTCGACTTGATGATGCTGTTTTTTGTTTTGTTTTTCCACTAACATCTGAGGCCTTCACAGAAAAAGCTGGATTTATACTGCAATTAAATCACCCATAGTTGTGGTATATTTAATAAGTAGGTGACTTCTGATTGGAATTGATTGCACATCATTTTATTTAGGGAATACTTCACAGTTACATACTGATGTGTGCTGGTCTATAATATAAAAGCCCAATGAAATGCAACAAAGTAGTTTTTCATAACGCAACAAAAAGTTCAAGGGGTATGAATATATATATATATTTTTTTTGTGAGGCACTGTGCATTGTGTAGTACATATATGATACCAACATACAACCCTTCATGTTTTCCTGCATTTCAGAGGTTTACCCTGGGTTCACCTTGGAATTACATTTGCTTTAGTTATCAATATTTTGAAAGATAAACTACTGGGATTCCTGGAACAACAAATACTCTCACAAAGCTGGAACACTTTGGTTGATTACATTTTCTTTAAAATTACATTAAAAATACACTAAGAGCATAACATGGATTTCAGAATGTCCTATCTAATTCAGTAGTTTTTTTTTTTTTTTTTACTTAGTTTGCACTGCTGGAGGCAGTTCACTGGGATGATCCTGTGTGAGCTTGAAACTTCCAGTTCATGAATCATCAAGCATTGTATTTGAACAGAAGCAAGTTGTTGTTGTAAGCACTTTACACATGATCATATTCAAGGTATTTGAATGGGGTTTTTCCACTTGAGAGGCAGCAGTTTGGACTAATTTTACAAATGAATTGGTGCCCATTGTACAGCTTAAGACAAAAAGCTCTGTTTCAATGCTGATAATCCTGCTTTGTACTTAACAGACTGTATATAAATCTGTAATACTGTCTTTCTCTGTATATATTTATATATATTTTTTTCTTTTTCCTGGTTTTCATTTCTTTTTCTGAGATTTCTCAACAGCACATTAGCTGTAGAGACAAACAAACATATGGTATCAAAATTATTCAGAGAGACAATAATGTTCTCTTTGTTCCCTTTCCAAAAATTTCATCAAGCCTGCCTGTTTCTCACAAATTACTCTGACAGCTCACAGGAGCTGTTTTCTCTTTCCAAAAGATCTCACTGGGAAAACCAACAATGCACGCACAAGGCTCTAAGATGAGCTTAGGCAGGGACAGCTTTAAAGTGAGAAGCAGTAAGAGGTTATTATTCTGTCAGCCGATGGGAAAGATGCCCAGATGCTTAGCAATATATTGCATTCAGCACCGTGATGACTGTCAAGAATGTCTGTCATTATTTTTTTTTTAGCCATTAAGTTTTCTTTGTTCTTATGAGTTTAAGATATTTTTTTCATCAGTAGTAATTGGATTTAAAAGGGTTCCTAAAAAGAATGAAGAAAATATTGATTTTATTTTTTTCCAGGTTTGGACTGGTATGAAACATTATTCCCATCTCCGTTACCTACATCTTTCTTTCCTTCCATCCACCCACCCACCCATTAATTTTGCAGGTTCCAAATTAGAAATGTATTCAGTACATCCATAGTGAACATTTACTAAATAAAAAAACAATGGCCAATATATATGTAAAATTTCAGGAAATTCAAGTCTGAAAACGTATGACCAGAACAATGTATATTAACACTAAACTACAGTAACTGAATTGAACTATACACTGTATCTTTCTTGACACGTGTGGCTTTAATCTATATTATCTGTACATATTATGAATTCTTTTGTAACACTCCTTTACAAAAGTTATCAGTACAGGAAAACTTTGCCATTCTCTATAAACTGCAGCTTCTGTACTGATCCAAGCCTAACACATTTTTCCAGTCCAATGAATGTCCTGCACTGCAAACAGATAAATATTTGATTGGCCTGCCTTCTGTCTCATTCACCCCTAAATGTTGGGCATAATGGCTATTGCGGGCAAAGAAGTACTACAGGATTTTAGTGCCATGTTGGTCCCTGGAAACCGAAGTCCATGTTGGAAAACTTGTGCCCCATTCACCTGTGGACAGCTCACCGGCTGGTGCTGCCTGTTTGTCTGGCTGCGAGCAGCAAACAGATGCCAGGACATAACAGATGATTACACACAGAGACCCAGAACAATTACAAGAGGTTGCTGCCCTTTTGTGATAAAACAAGACACACCTCTTAGCGTGTAGGATGCAGGATAGTTCTTTATTCAGGTATGCTAAGGACAAGTTTCTTTTTAAGGTTGAAGTCTGAGCTCATTAGCAGGAAAAAGTGCTGACGGCACCACCAATTTTGCTCAGTCTGAATAAACTAGACACAATGCAAAAAGAAATACAGAACGTTCTGGTGGTCAATATCTTGCCATTGATTGCAAACCAAATCCCATCATCTATGCTCTCCCCTTGTGTATGATAGTTGTTAATAACCATGGCAAAGCCCATTAAAGCAGGTGCCATTTGAGACATTGAACTGATCTTCATAAACCTTTTATAACTTGTAAATGCTTTCTGTCTTTCGCTCTCTGTTTTTTCCTTTTCTACCAATCAATACCTTGTTAGTGCTGTGACAAAATACAGGCATAAGACCAACACTAAAATAGTATCTTCAGTTTATCCTCGAGTTTTTGTTTTAGCCTTCAGACCACTTCTGTCATGATTTAGGTTTAGATTGAAAACTGAAACAATTACAGAAAAAAAGCATCAAAAGTCAATTGTTCCAGTTCTCAGTGATTGGTTGAGTTGTTTTGTTCTCTTGATTATAGCAAGAGGTTTCACATGACACAAGGTCAGATAAAGTAAATACGGTCATGGTAAAAAGACAGAAGGACCCCTGTCAGTTCTAAAGTTGTGGCTTGTGACCTGGTTTGAGCCAGGTTCTGAAAGGGTTTATATTGTTCTTTATAATTACCATGTGTTATTTATTAAACAAAAATGAATACAAAATATGAAAGTGAAAAGCTATGTATGATATGTACTTAATACATAAAACCCTGTCATTTAAAGGGGGTGTACTTTCTTTTTACCATGAACATTCCACAGAGCAGTGGAGGCTTCTAATGTAGATGACACGGCTTACCTCCCGGGTTGTCATGGAATTTGGGGGCAGCTTTGCTGATCAAAATGAAAAAGTTATGTCCATTGAACAGCAGTTATCTTCTTAAGTTTGCATTGCATGTTCAGCCAATGCTGGAACCAACTGAGGTCTATTTGAAATTTGGTCTATTTGATGATCTCGTCTTCAAAACTTTTAAATGACTGGACTTTAAAGTGAATGATTTATGAAAACTTTACTTCAATCTTGAAAACACAAGTAAGACCTGAGGGGGATTGTGAATGGCATAGAAGGACGGACTTGTCCACTCAACCAAGAAACACTGCTGCTTTAGAGGGTCATTTTAAGAATGTTATAAATAGTAACAATGCACATACAGCAACTTGACAGAAGACAAGATGTAAATTCGTTCGGGTCAACCATTATTTCAGGCAGTGGCTGTCATATATCTGTAAAGAGAAAAAAAAGAAAACAGTTGTATTTTAACAGTACTGGTCTGTGAATCTATGATGCTTTTGCTCTGTATATTTGGAAAATAAAACTGATGTTTGAGTTTGCGTTTATTTTCTCTGGTCTCTGTCATTTGGGATGTCAATGGTGGATTTTCTAACACAAATAGATCAGTTTCCCAGAACTGAAACACAACATTTATCGGAATTGAGGATTATATCCATCAAACTTCCCCAAAAAGAATTTAGTAGGAAATTATTTAGCCAGTGTTGTAATATAGTTCAGGCTTTTTGTTTGTTTTTTGCTTCTGTTTTCCAGGCTTGAGCTATGTACTGTGAAAACTGTTAAATTATACATCGTTTAGGAGAAAATGTGAATCCTTAACAGCCACCACAGAAAAGAGCAAAGTGTGTTATAGCTTTATGACAATACACAACAGACAGACAAAAACAAAAGGTACATACTGCTGAATCCAGTAAGGGCTCTGTTTCTCACATTCTCTACAAGTGAATGTAATAACTGAATACATTCACGCATTTAGCAATGCAGGAAAAACATGCCCTCTGGCACTTGACCTACATAATTGTGTCATTTTTTTCTTCTACTTTTTCTTTATTTTTCTTATGTAGTCACTATCATAATAGCATATTGTTCAGGGTGGCCAAAAGAACAAAACAAAGATGATAAACAGAATCTGAAAGTGCTGTCTTACAGAAATACAACAAAATCAAAGCACAGTCCAAACAAGATGAGTCATCTTCAATTGATCATATAGCAGGGCTTGGTGATATGGTCTAAAGTATACATAAATAGATTAAATATTGTGAAACATAATACCTATAATACAGCTAAAAATTTCACTTAAGTTCTGACCTTCATTTCAACAGCAAAAATAAGTTTTGAAGCTGTTTTTTCCACAGTTTTTCCACCACAAAAATCTATTTAAGAGCTTTAACAACATTTTAAATCTACTTTTGGTAAGTGTTGACAGGTGTTAATTTTTCTTAAAAATTGAGGGAATTCTATACATTCACCTTTGTTTTTAGAATGATGAGTGTGCTTACCTGTGAAGTATTGAATAACAACAAAAATCTGAATTTTCCAAGGGCCTTTCACTGCTAATTAAAGTTAGGCGCTATTGAATTTCATACTGGGTTGCCACATGTACTGTAACATCTCATGGGAACCCTTTAGTTTTACCTAAGTGCTTTTTGATGTTAGCTGTGTTTCAGTTAAGCACACAATTGCACAAATTGAAATTACAAAAAATAAATTTGGTTAACAGAAACAAGCCAATTAAGAAAAGAACTTACATTTTTCATTGAAAAAGTTTTGTGCCAGAAAGACGGGGGTTTTCAGTTGTGTTAAGATGTATTTCACAAAACAGCAATGGAAACACTTTTTTGCGTCACACAAGTCATAATATTAACAGCTGGATGTTATTGCAGCTGCTGATATCATGCAGAAGATGACAGGAAAATAGTAGGAGGCTGATAGTTTTTGTTTTTTTTGGAAATGTGTAACTGGTCCCACCAGAGCTATACACAGCATTGTACATTTCATAATAAGCTGTGTGTCATTCAAATATGTTGCTGTAAAATTGCAGACCACAATTTCTTCAAAGTACAACTCCAATACCTGAGTAAATCGCCAACGTCTTCTCTGATGGCTGATAGAAGATGAGTCCTAGCACCATGGATGAATTATGAATATATCTCAGGTAACTGCTTACATTCAATGCTGCCATGCTTTTAATTTATGTATTACATGAAATAACTTATTCACATATGATTTTAATTTCTTTTGTTACTGAATGGAAACAATTTTATTTTTTCAACTGCACAAAGTCCAGGTTATTTTTGTTTATTGCATGTAAAAAAAGGCAATAGTTCTATTGAGGTATGAAAAGTAATTGAGTCCAATCAAACTTAAGTCCTCATTGTGCCTAACTGTGAAAAAAATGGATTAAATGAAGGCATCATTGTTCCTGTGCATTTCTTGTTGCTTTGGACCAGAAAATAGCATTTAAAACCCTGAACATAAATTCCTGTTGTAAACCATTCCATGCCAGAGTTTGAAGAAAGAAATATCTGAAGTTATCTTATCACCTACAATCACGAATCGGCAGGTCAACCAAGAGTAAAATAACTTTTGTTTTTTATGATAGTCTTATTTGTGCACTGACATCAGAATCTGTATATTCCCGTTCTTTTGCAGGTTTCACAATCAGCTGATGAAGCATATTGATGCACCTGAAACCTTCCCACAATTTCATTAACATGGAAGCTGTTTTTTCTTTACTTCCCTTATCCCTTTGTCTTTAACCATATTTTGAAAAGGGCTCACAAAATTTCTTCACGTATCAAAGAATTAATTGACCTATGTTATATTTATACTATTGATAAGAGCATTAGTACTAATAAAATTCACATTCACTTCAGAAATTTTGAATTATCCTTGTAGAAACAAACTGAAATGGTTGGCCTGAACACATGCACAAAGTAGCAAAAATTCAAAAAACAACTTTTAAAGACTATTGGAAACCCTCCAGAAATGTCAATCAAAGATTAAAATAATGTGAGGCTCTCTGGAGGAAAAAGCAAAAACAAAACGAGAATCAAAACTTACAGTTCTATATGTGTTAGCAGCACGAAAAATTAAAGATGAAGGAAAAGTGTGCTCTATTTCCTCCAAACTGTAGCACACCTTAGAATCACATTAAAACACATTTTGCATGAAACAAATTCCCCCAGCCTCCTTTTGTGCTTCACCTAAAATATTCTGCAGGAACCAAAAAGGCACCAATCAGTTTTTCAAAATGTTCCTGTTTGTTTCGAGGTTTCCCCCAGCAGCAATTGGTAAGAGCACAAACATGGGTGTTTATTCACTTCCCCTTTCTGGTGCTTCTTAGGGCAGTCAGCAGATTTCCATTATTACATTTACATGAAGACCTTTAATCCATTGATAGTACCATCCCAGTCTAACGTCTGACTAAATGTACTCACACAAACAGTGTAGCTCTCTTCAAATGCTGGCTCCAGCCGTACAGAACTGAAACTTAAAAGTGATTTGAATTCCCTCATGCATATAGTCAATACAATGGTAGGGCAATTAGTCTTAGCTGGATTAATCTACTTGCAGTCAGCAGCAGAGACGTGGCAGTCTAGTCGGAGTCAGAAACAATTCTCTGATTTGTAAACACAGCATGGCCTCGGAGAGAAAAACTAAGCCAACAACTAAGCACACAAAGAACGGTCTGTGCCAGCATAAGGTAGCCTCAAAGCAAGTGATACAGCCAGTTTAGCCTCAATATTAGGACTCCATTTGCCAACATGATTTTCCTGAAAAAACTTCCAAAAGAAAAATTAAAAAAGAATGACTGTGTTTTCCAAACATTACACAAATCATGCCATTTGCAACGGATTTAACTAATCACCGAGCTCCAACTCATTACTAAACTGATTCGGCTCAGACATTTGCCTACATTATCACTTTAAACACTCTCTTGGAACTAGTTCCTGGAAGGCACTAATTATTCAATCTCGCTGTCGCTGACAATACAGCAAGCCTGTGGATCTCCCTGTGGCTTTCATCTCCTCTAACAGATCCTAGTGGGAAATGGAAATTGCCACATAAGTTATTGTCTTTCTTTTCCGATGAGCTCCTCCAACAATTTACTCTGCCATGAACTACCTTGTTAAATAATTTCATTTAAAAACTAATGAAACAAAAAGAGTTGTGAAAATATAGTGCAAATGGCAGATTGACCATTGGTGTACCAAAATGTGTTAAAATTTTTTCCAAAGTTTGGCATTTACTAGTGTGAACAAAATGTGAAACAGCAGGTGCATTAATGGAATGTCAAAACAATTGCTAAAATCTCCTCAACAAAGAAACATGCTTTTTCTTGTCATTATATTGTTTCGTGTCAGCCAGCATCCACATTCAGAAAATTGTTGTCTTTTCTCTCTGCACACACAGCCTGATTGGATTGTCAGTCAAACATGTTTATAGTACCCACAATGTAAACCATATGGTTTAATAGTGAGTAGAAAAGAGGAGTTGACTGACATGTTGACGCAAATTTCCATACTGCTGCTCTCTTGATGTAATTGTCAATGAAATTCCTTCTTTGTAGTAATTTGTTTTTTTCTGAGGACAGGTGTTCAGGCAGAAAACTCACTCAACCAACATGTGTCTTGCAGCATAACATGGGATGTCAAAGACGACAGAGAAAGCATGTTTATAATGCGCACCACTAATTGCACGTGTAAACTACTCAGCTTTAATCCTTCTCTCCAGAAAATATAGTGTTGAGCATAATATGAAACAGAATGGGTCCAGATACCTTCCTTTCAATATCCTTTTTCTGCAGAAAATGTTCTTTTTTTAAATACAAAATAATAAATTGGTTGTTTTGTCACATAACCTCTCTCTGTCACAGTGATGCCATCTGCCTAAGATTGAAGATTTGAATTAATGCAAATGGGGCAGTAGAGTCATCAAGTCATACTTCTTTCTTCTCTAGATGTTTCTTGCCAACTTTGCATTATTTTTTAAATAATGACATTTTAATGCAAAGTTGGTACTTTTACTGGACTTCCAATGCAACTTTTAGAGTAACTGCATTAAAAGTGTCATTATTTACCAAATGACACTTCATAACAACAGTTGTAAACATTCACAATAACTCTTGCATGTTCATGACAGATGTCATGCCATGTTTATGAAAGTGTAATGTAGGTCTTACATTACAAATAAAGTGTTACCTAAAATATTTAAACAAGATGCTTTATCTTAAATCTTTACCTGTTTAGCTTGGGTCAAGTATGGTGACTTGTGTAGTTGACTGGCTTCAGACAGCCAGTCATCTAGGACTTTAGTTACGATAGTGCAGCTGCTGAGAAGAATTTCATTGGGCAAGAGTGAGGACGTGATTTGTTACTGGCCATGACAAAGTTAGGAAAAAAAAACAGATCAGTGAGAAAATAGCTCTCCCTAAACCTGATCAACTATTTGCAGATGTTAACAGATGTTGCAGATGTTAGCTCATTTGCGTTACTGTGCAATAACCCCACTCCCAGCATTGGCTGTCAACAGTTATGATTAGGAA